GACAGATGATAAATCAGAAACCTTAGTGGCCATTGTTCCCTCCGCATATTCAAAAACAACAAAAAACCAAACCCATTGCCATGAAGTCAGTTCTGACTCATGCTGACCCCACGTGCTACAAAGTAGAACTATTCCATAGGGGTTTCTTGGCTGTCATCTTTAAGGAAGCAGATTGCCAGGCCTTTCTTCTGCAGTGCCACTGGGTGGGTTTGAACTGCCAACCTTTGGCAGTCAAGCGCAAACCGTTTGTGCCACCCAGGGCCCTCCCTCCACATACAGCAAGGGCATGAGTTCCTCAGGAAGGGGGGGACATCACCTTCTGTCACGAAGTTGGTATCACTAGAGTGCTTGCAAGTGATGATCTTTTCTACCAGCTGATTGTAACTCAGTTTCCCAACTGCGTTCACAGCCTCAGGACTCTGCAGGGATGGCAGGGCAGGGTAGGACAAAACAACTGAGATTTTATGGGGGGGAGCCAATGAACCAAGCCCCCTGGGATTTCCACCCGATGACAAAGGTCCCTGAACTTTTGATGACTAAAGAACTGATCCTATTCGCCTGTGGTTTCCTTGTATTTAAACTTTTACAAGGTTAATCTTTTAAAAAGGTTGCAGTTCAAGGAATTCTGCACTGGGTCTGTCCTCTAAACCCTGTTCCCCTCCCAAACCAATCTAACCCCTGTTCCAAAACCAAACCCATTGCCGTCATGTCGATTTCAACTCATAGTGACCCTGTAGGACAGGGTAGAACTGCCCCATAGGGTTTCCAAGGCTGTAATCTTTATGGAAGCAGACGGCCACATCTTTCTCCCATGTAGCAGCTGGTGAGTTCCAACCACCGACCTTTCGGTGAGCAGCCGGGAGCTTTAATCAACCCCTGTTACCATCCCATACAGTGAGAGTCTCACTGGGGCGCTCCCGCCCTCACCTGTGGGTCAACGAGCCAGCCATGGTACAGAGGGATGCCTAGCAGGTCAAAGACACTGCACTCAGGTGTATACTCAAAATCAGAGACGCCTGTGAATCGCACATTGACATCCAGGCCTGTAGCCAGTTTAGGCAGCACCGACATAGCATCGTCCACGTTCTGGGGATGGAAAAGATCACGATGTGCCAGCCTCCCCTCCCCGCACCATTCCATTCCCACCTCCAGGAATCAGACAGGAATCCTGTTGTTTTTCTTCCCTGGTTCTTTTACAAGCCATTCCATTCCTCTCTCCCTCAACCCGTGTCAATCTTATGTAAACGAACACATTTTCTAGGGCAGAGATAAACCCTCCCCCTCCTGCAGAAAGAAATCCTGGTTCAAGGAACCCTCTGGAGAAGCAGCAGAAAGGCCTCTGTTAGTAGCCCTGGGTGTCCCCTGACGAACCTGCGAAAACTTGCAAACCTTTTACCTCACCTGCTGAAAATTAAGCTGAAGTCCCTCGGACTTCTCCTGGGGCTTGATGGACAGAAGGCAGTCTCCTGCAAGACAAGATCCCTTCTCAGTTTTCCCCATCAACGTCACAGGACCACAGATTTTCAGAGCTGGAAAGGGCCTTAGAGTCTCATCCGGCCCCCTCATTTCTCAGAGGAAGACACAGGCTCATAAAGGTGAAGGGCCCATCTGAGGTGTTATGGATTGAATTGTGTCACCCAAAAACAGGTGTTGTAAATCCTGACCTCTAGGCCAGTGGTTATACTCCCATTTGGGAGGGGCTTGTGTTTGTTACGTTAATGAGGCAGGATTAGAGTAGGGTGTGTCTTGTGTCAATCTTTTTGGAGACATAAAGGAGATTAAACAAGCAAGCAGAGAGGGGAGAGGATAGATGCCATGCCGATGAAGATCACCAAGAAGCCAAGGAATCAGGACCTTCCCAGAGACAACAGAAAGACAAAGCCTTCCCCTAGAACTGGCGCCCTGAATTTGGACTTCTAGCCTCCTAGACTGTGAGAAAATAAATTTCTGTTTGTTGAAGCCACCCACTTGTGGTATTTCTGTTACAGCAGCACTAGATGACTAAGACATAAGGTCACATGTGAAAGCTAAGGGCAGATTGGGTGTTACCTTGACCTCTGCCTTTCATTCCCTAGCCTTATAGAGAAGCCCTTTGGCCCCACACCCTCCCTGCCGTATAAGAGCCCTAAATGGGGAGTCCCTCAATATTCTGGATTTCTGGCTGAGTGGACAGCTCTGGGACCCTGTCATGAATTGAATTGTATCCCCCAAAAATATGTGTCAACTTGGCTAGGTCTTGATTCTGAGTATTGTGTGGTTGTCCTCCATTTTGTGATCTGATTATCCTCCATTTTGTGATGTGTTGTAAATCCTAGCCACTACGCCTGTGGTTATGGCCTCATTTGGGAGTGAGCTGTCCATCATGTTAATGAGGCAAGATTAGGTCATGTTAATGAGGATTAGGGTGGGATGCAACACTCTTACTCAGGTCACAGCACTGATCTGATCTAAGAGGAGTTTCCCTGAAGGGTGGTCTGCATCACCTTTTATCTTACAAGAGATAAAAGGAGAGAGAAGTGAGCAGAGGGGGAGGTGGACCTCAGTACCACCAAGAAAGAAGAGTCAGGAGTGGAGTGTGCCCTTTGGACCTGGGGTCCCTGTGCTGAGAACCTTCTAGACTCAGTGATGCCAAGACACATGGAGATCTCCAAGGGCTGCTGAGCCCAGAAATGTTGAAAGTAGATAAGGACCTTCCCCCAGAGCTGACAAAGAGAGAAAGCCTTCCTGCAGAGGTGGCACCCTGAATTCAGACTTCTAGCCTCCTAAACCATGAGAGAATAAATTTCTGTTTGTTAAAGCCATCCACTTGTGGTATTTCTGTTATAGTGGCACTAGATAGCAAACACAGACTGCTTGAGTGATTCCTCTTCAAGGCCCACTCACTCACCAAGATGGGCCATGAGCTCATCTGATGTGATCACTTCCTTCTGAGGGGGCAGCTTCACCTGGAGGCAAAAGGAGTGATCATAGGGTTAGCCATGTGTGTGCTTTCCCTCACAGAACGCTGGAGGTAGAACCCACAGAAAGACGGAGCCAGCGGCTGGGTTGAATGGGGGAGGAAAAAGCTTTATAACTGGTGCGAGAGGAATGGACATGACCTATGCAAGGCAGTCCCATCTTGCTAGAGAGTAGGAGAAACAGGAGTAAGAAAGAAATTGTTTGTTTTCTTTTTAGGAACATCTTAATCTCATTCATTCAAGCTGAAGAAATAGGGAGATAATCTAGAAAGTTTTGACTGGTTTGAGAAAATAAGGATTATCAAGGAGGTGGGTCAGGAAAGAACACACTCCCCAATATTTTCTCAGCCTCCATGTAAACTTTCCCTTACCTTCCACTGAAGAAAGAGGACGTTCATGATAGCAAGGAGAGGGCAAGGGCCATTTGTGCTCTGGGTGATGATGGGTGTCCGCTCTTCCTTCCAGGAGATCCACTTTACACAGTAGAAATCTAGCTCGGGCTGTCGGGCCCTAGGGGACAGGGGAAGCCCCTGGGGCCTGGGGCATGCCCCCACTGTCTCTACCTCAGTCTGAGTCCCATGGGCTGGCTCCACTTGGCTTGAGCTAGCTTCAGGTGGAGGGGACTCAAGGTTCTCCTGGTCCTGGGCAGGCAGCGAAGCTTGGTCTACTGGTTCCTGTTCTCCAGCTGCTCCATTAGCATCTCCGGCATCCTTGTCTTGAGGGTGCTCCTCTGGTCCTGACAGGACCTCATGGTTTTCAGAGGTGACTGCCTCTGTAGTCCTGGCCTCACCAGAGGTTGGCTGCTCAGGTTTGTGGTGCTCCATGGTCAGAAGGAAGGCAACTGAGGTAAACTAAAGACGTTTACTGACCTCAGGTGCTTGCCTAAACCAGGGTTGGTATGCAAAAGAGGGAATGGTCCAAGAAGAAGGAAATCATTGAGGTGGAAAGCAAACAGATCCCAGGAAAGTCTTGGGGGAGGTTAGATAGCGTCTGTGTTCTCCCTCTTGACTATGAGTAGCATATGTCTTTCTCAGCTTGTGTAAACAGGAGGGCCCCTGGACGACCTCTTTCTACCTCTAACTCACGGCGACCAGATAGGACCAACGAGGGCACAGGGCTTTTAGGCTTCGGAGGGATGATTCAAATGGGATTGAAGACATTGGGTGGAGTCAGCCTTCCTGAAACAGACAACAACAGGGAGTAAGACAGAGGAGAAAGACAGAAGGGAAAGAGATGGGGAAAGAAATGTTAAAACGATGCTTGTGGTTATTAATTGTGGTGACTGCAGCGCGATGGATTGCTTTTATATGGCCCTTCTCACCATGGTCTTGTAACTCCCACCAAATTATTGAGTGAGACTATGCAAATAAGTTGCTTGTGGCCCACCAAGGGGATTTGACAGCCTGCTAATAATGCTTATAAGGTACATGGCACCCTTGTGGGGAGGGACCATACAAATAAATTGTATGGAACCCTAATGAGGGGATGGGTCAGCCAACCTCACAGCAGTGGGGACCTCACTACCATCAAGAAAGAAGAGCTGGGAGTGGAGTGTGTCCTTTGGACCTAGGTTCCTTGTGCTGAGAACTTCCTAGACCCAGGAGACAGAGAGGGAGCTGTAATACTGGAGACGGCACGAGACAGCCAGAAGCAGCGGCTGAAAAATGGCAACAGCAGAGCCAGAAGACCCATGCAAGATGGTGAGGTGGGCCTCCTGGCCCACCAAACAAGGTGGCTACAGCGGGCATGCTGACCCACAGAGCAAGAGAGCTGAGTGCCTTTGGGCAAGAGACTTCCTGGCAGAGTGGGATACCTCTAGGAACCTGGCAGAACTAGGCTTGCTGACCCACAGAGCAAGAAAGAGCTGGGCGCCTTCAGGCAGGAGGCTTGCTGGTGGAATGAGGTGCCTCTGGGCACTTATTGGTGGAGCTAAAGAGCTTTGTAACACTTGCCCAAGCAGGTCAGAGGCCAGGCTGAGGGGCCCAGGGACCAAGGGAGAGGCCTGCCTGAGGGCATGCCTGAAAAGCAGGGCTTCGAACTGGTTCAAAGCGGTTCCGTCATGGCTGATGAGGTGAAATCGGAACAGACCCAAATTTTAAAACTTTGGGTGAAGTGGAGCAATAACTGGAACAGGAAAAATTACAAGTCGAAGCCCTGGAGTGGGAAACTCGGAAGAGGTGTAAGTGAGCCCTTTCAGGAGTCTGATGCAGGAGATTGGATTATTGCCAGGACTGTGGAGAGCGACACACATTCAAAGCAGCGTGGTTGGCCACCATCTTTGAGTGGGACACCACTGTTTCCAACTCTGCTGGTCAAGATTTCGTTGCTGTGCAACGTGCATGCTGCCCTTGTTTTCTAAGAGGGAGTTAAGTTTGTAACAGGGCTTTGACCCGTAATTTTTCCTGTTCTGGCTATCCTTCCAGTTAACCCACATTTAAAAAATTTGGGTCCATTGGGGTTTTGCTTCCTCAGTCATGATTGAACTGGGCAGAACCAGTATGAAGCCCTGTGGAAAAGCTGTCCTGACTGAAGAACTGTATCCTGAGTCATTCCTGATCCTGAATTGTAACCTGTTACTTCCCTAATAAATCCCATAATCGTTAGTATGGTCTGTGAGTTCTGTGTGGCCATTGCAACAAATTATCAAACCCAGCAGAGAAGTAGAGAGTGCCATAGAATGGACGGTTGGTGTAAGAATTGGTAAAAAGGAGGGTGGGGAGGGAGGGAGAGGAGTATTCACTAACTAGATAGTAGACAAGAATTATTTTAGGTGAAGGGAAGGACAACACACACTACAGGGGAAGTCAGCATAACTAGACTAACCAAAGCTAAGAAGTTTCCTGAATACAACCAAATACTTCAAGGGACAGAGTAGCAGGGGTCCGGTTATGGGGATCATGGTTTCAGGGGACATCTAGGTCAATTGGCATAACAAAGTTTATTAAGAAAATGTTCTGCATCCCACTTTGGTGAGTAGTGTCTGGAGTCTTAAATCTAAGATGCATCAATTGGTCCCAATCTACCTGGAGCAAAGGAGAATGAATAACACCAAAGACACAAGGAAAGAATTAGCTCAAGAGACAGAAAGGGCCACATAAACCAGAGACCTCATCAGCCTGAGACCAGAAGAACTAGATGGTGCCCGGCTACCACCAATGACCACCCTGACAGGGAACACAACGGAGTCCCTGACTGAGCAGGAGAAAAGTGGGGTGCAGAACTCAAATTCTAGTAAAAAGACCAGACTTAATGGTTTGACTGAGACTGGAGGGACCCTGGAAGATATGGTCTCCGGACTCTCTGTCAACCCAGAACTAAAGCCATTCCCAAGGCCAACTCTTCAGACAAAGATTAGACTGGACTATGGGACATAAAATGATACTCGTGAAGAGTGTGCTTCTTAGCTCAAGTAGATACATGAGACTAAATGGGCAGCTCCTGTCCAGAGGCGAGATGAGAAGGCAGAGAGGGTCAGGAGATGGTTGAGTGGACACAGGAAATCAGGGGTAGAAAGAAGGAGTGTGCTGTCACAGTACAGGGAGAGCAACCAGGGTCACATAACAATGTATGTATAAATTTTTGTATGAGATACTAACTTGAATTGTAAACTTTCACTTAAAGCACAACAATTAAAAAAAAAATGAATTGGTAAAAAGGTTGGAGAGAGGAGGCATGTCTGACCTCCACCTCATAGGAATCAGCCTTGGGCTGTTGATCTTGATTCTCCTTCCCCCTTGTGAAGTTAGACAGGAGGTCTGGCACCCCAAAACCATTTTTCACAGTGATCTTTAGCTCACCCTATAAAGGGACAGGGTAATCTCTCTGCCCCACACCAAACCCCGCCCCTTGACTACTCACAGAATGTCTAGGCACACACAGACTCCTGGTATCCTTAGTGATATCTTCTCTTTGCCTTGTCCTAAAGGGCAAAAAGGTTTATAGTCACATAGTGCTTGGGGTGAAGGGTGGAGAGGCAGTCAGTATCATGCCTTTAAAGACAAAACACCAGTGAGGAAGGGGAAGGTCTCCTCAAAGGACTCTACGGAACCTTGCACAATCCCTAACCACTACACAATGGTCTTGGGCGGGGCTTCCTGTAGGCTGGAGGGGAAATGGAGGCTATGTTGTGATTGTTGTTAGTTACCATCCAGTCGGCTCCGCTCGAGTTCCACCTCACGGTGACCCCGTGTGTGCCGAGCAGAACTGCTCCACAGGGTTTTCAAGGCTGTGACCTTTTGGAAGCAGATCATCAGGCCTTTCTCCCGGGGCATCTCTGGGTGGTTCGAACCACCAACCTTTTGGCTAGTAGTAGAGTGCTTAACGATTTGCACCACCCAGGCTGTGGGGACTTGAATCAGAGACTGGTTCTGATAAATAACCTCAGATTAGGGCCACAAAAACCACTCCCCCAAATTCCTCCAGTGAGCTCCTCTTGACGGCTGGAATTTAGACAGCAGCTTCTCAGTTCTTCTTTATTCTGAGACTGCCTCAACCTAAGATGCTCTCTCCCCCACTCTTCATATGGAATTTGAAAACACTGATTTTGATCTACATAAAAATACTTCTATCTAGCTGTATGTATACTCTTTATATCTGTTCCCATCTAGGTCATTTTAGATGTGAACCTGTTTAACCTGCTCTCTATCAGCACTAAGCACATCAAAACAATGCTGTGGATAGTCAAGGATCAAGGATGAAAAGCCACAGACTCTGCCCGCTGGAAAACAACTCCCTTGAACCTCCTTGCTCCCTCCCACTTATTCAGGGTAAGAAATCAGGGGAAATTAAGCTTGTTAAAAATCTAGCCTTTTCTCCAGCTTCCCTCCTAACCTGAGATATGCTTCTCTCTTGTCAACAGGCAGGAATTTAGGGCTAGGGGAAGGCCCAGCCTATAAGGTTAAGGAACATGGAAGTTAGGGAATAAGCCGAGTCACCCATATCGATCATCCTCCTGATTCAAACATAATTTATGCTAGCTGCATCTAATTTACATGTTGTTAATTTAGAATCAGAGAAGCCAAAAATTACCTGCATGCCTTACACCTTTCTTTTTTTTTCTCTCTCCTGTCTTCCTCCCCTCTCAAATGGCACTTAGGGTGAGCTTCGGAAGCAGATGCCAGGAACTGGGAAAGTTAAGAATGCTTGGAGAAAAGCTGGGCTCATTTCTTATCTTTTCTGTCTAGCGCCAGAAAGGATCAATAAGTAAATGGGGGTTGGGCAACCAGCTGGCTAGAGGCAAGAGTCAAAAGGAACCAGAAGCTGGACACCCGAGGGAGCTGGGTCTCAATCAAGGAGATTGGCCAGAGCTAAGTGGGTTGAGTCTTAGGAGGCGGGGCAGGGAATGCAATGCAGAGTTTCCACCGTACCAGGGGTGGATATTGAGGATTTTTGAGTAGGAAAGGCGGAGAGGGAGGGTACTCAAACAAACCACAGTTCTTTTTCTCTCCTTCCGCTCCAGCTAGAATTATCTTCTGTGGTGGGTGAGGGATTTAAAATAGCTCTGGCCCCTCCATAGCGGTGGCAGAAAATAGCCAAAAGTGGGAAGGGGAGAAGCATATGGAATGGGCATGTAGCTTCCAGAAGACCCCCCCAGGAACCCTTCTCTCTCTCCCCAAGTGCTGTACTGTCCCACCTAATCTCAGCCTGACCCAAATTCTCCTGCAATCGGGGATTAGATTTTCCCCTCAGAATCAGTCCAACACCACCACAGCTCCCTGTCTCCTTGCTTTCAGGGAAAAGGGCGAGGGTCTCACTAAGAGGAGGGAATGAAGGTACAAGGCAGCACCCCTTTTACATAGTTCCCCCGCAATCCAGACTTTGAGAGATCAAAGCCGGGAGGACAGTCAGTGTCAACTCCCCAGAGCTGGAAGGGAAGGAGAGCCGGGGGTGGGAGAGGAGGTGAAGACAGTGGTTCACGAAGTTTTACCTTGCAGAAGTGGGTGTTGTTCCAGGACTGAGAAGGAGGGCTCAGGTCTGGCACCTCGGTGGGGAAGGGGGCAGCAATGAGGGGCGCCGCCACGGCCCCCGCCGCCTTCCAGCTGTCAACGCCGGAGCTCACACCGGTTTAGGAGCGGCGTCCTGGCTGGGCTGGGCTGTGGCCGCTTGGGGACTCACGCCCACGCGCGACGGGGACCCGGGCAGACGGGCAGCAGGGGCACAGCCCGGATGCTCCCGGAGGCTCCGAGCGTCTTCGGGATTCCTGGTCGCTGAGTCTAGGCGTGCGCTCCAGGCCCTGGCTGCAAGCTGGTTTTCAAAGGAAGTTTGTGGTTTTTCTTTTTCCTCCTTTCTCCCTCTCTTTCTTTCCACCGGGACAAAGAAAAATTAGTCAAGGACAAGCTCTCTGGAGCAGAGGCGGCCTGCCCAGCGCTGGAAGGTTTCCATCCGGGCTTTCTGACCCGGTCAGCAGCTGGGTGATCAGCAGAGAGGGAGAGGGAGAAACAAGGGGAGAAAAACAACAGAGCCTTTCTCTTCCCTCCGCCTGCCTGCCGCTGGAGGGGACGGAGCACTCGTGCCTCTCTGGTGAGAACAGGGAAGAGCAAGTGCCCTTGCCGAGTGGGGAGGAGCAGGCTGGACAGCAGGATCTGGCTCTCCCCCTCCGTGTGGCAGTCCTTTGCTCTGGATCCACAGAAGCTGGGTCAAAGAGCATATTTGCTGATTTACTCATTTAGTGTAAAAAAATCCCTGCTCCTTTCCCTTTGGAGCCCTCAGAGGGTTCCTTTCCAAGTCCTTGCTGTATCATCTTTAGCCTAGAAAGGAAGCTGTTTGGGCTGCAACCCTGGCAATGCAGGATAAGGTGTGGAAGAAGCCGCAGGATCTGGGAGGATGGCGCAGCAGGGAGATCCAATACCCCTGTGCTCTGGCCCTTGTTCCCACCACAGGCCTCAGCTTCTCATCAATCACCTCCTCTTAATTCCCACCTCCGGGAGTTGGAAAAGCTGGTGTGAGGCTGGCGACACAAAGGAATGGATTAACAAATGCGAGAAATAACTTTTGATAATGGGAGTACGCTTATATGCAGTACTTTGTACTACACCGGGGCCAGCAGGGTGGCAGTTAAGGGAGTTGGAACCCAGCTCAACATTCGGAAGGGCCCTCCAAACTCCACTTACAGGGCTGCCATGAGGTGAAGCTTCAGGCCACTCTGAAAGCTGGAAGAGCAGTTGGAACCATCAGGGAGGCAGGGAACCAAGAACTAAGGTCACAACAACCCAGGCAAGGAATGATGAAACATTTGCCGAGGATGTGGAACAAACAGGCTACACATCTGTGAAGAAGCATCAGGAGTTGGTAAGAGATTGTCGGTATTCAGAGGAGGGGACAAAGATTATTCAAATTTTTTTCTAGCGTGGGCAACCACAAAATCGGTAGCAATGGGTTAATTTGGTAAAGGGAGGAATTTGAGAATGGAAAATGAGCTGTTTTTGCCATGCCTAATTTAAGATGTCAACAAGATGCTCGGTGTAACCTGTGTAATAGAAGGAAGCTATGACCTAAGAAGCTTCAGACACTACAAAGACGGCCTACTGTGACACATGCACATTTATGTGTCAAATGAGTTATCTCAGAAAATTCTCCTTCCCTCAGCTCTTGGGAGCATTTCGGAGCGTCTGGACTCCGTTTCCCAGGCTGCCCTGCGCCACGAGTCACTTCGCACCCCCTAGAGCGTCCCAAGAGTCTCATGGCGCGGAATGCAGCGCCCACCGCCTGGGGGCGGGGCCACGCCGGACCACGGGCGCGCCTGATGACGCACTTCCTCCCAGGGCGGGGCCGAATCGCCGTGTGGCGGGTTCGAGTCCCGCCTCCTGACTCTCGGCTCTTGCCCAGAGTCCTGGGCGGGGCTCACTCGCCAAGTAACCTCTCCTCCGCGAGGGGCAGCGGCGCGGCTTCGGCTTCACCATGGAGGACTACCTGCAGGGTTGTCGAGCTGCTCTGCAGGTAACGGACCTTTGCCTGGGACTGTAGGGGATAGCATGGGTCCAGGACGGACGGAGATGTGGGATCCGGAGAGCCCCGAGGTCCGTGTGGAGGGAGCACCGAGCTGTGGGGAGGGGGTCTGGAGTATGATCAGCTGGGGCCTGAGGAACGAGAGCCTGGATCAGGAGGTGGGAATGCTGCTCAGCTTCCCCGTCTTTGGGGGCTCCCCGCCTTTGGGGGCTCCCCGAGAGCAGGGAGGTGGGTCTGGGTCCTGCATCGGCGCCTCTGCTCGCTGTCTCCGGGGCCGATTCCGCCGCAGGTCCAGGCTGTCCTACCCTCGGTCCTGCCCCTCTCAGTGCTCCGCTCGCGAGGCCTCCTTGGCCTCCAGGCGAACCCCGGGGGTACGGAGGGAACCTGTGCTCACGGCTTTACGTCCCGAGAGCGGCGGTTTCTCTCCATGAGAGGTGGTTACTTAAGTCTCTGTTTTTAAGCTAAACATACACAGCAGGCATTTCTGTTGACCCAACACCTGCATTCCTTGGCTTTGCCTCCACGTTTCTTCCTTGCCCTTAAGGCACACAAATTACATAAAGCCCCCTGCTTGGAAGCACAAAGTGTGTTTGGAATCCAAACTCCAAGCATGGCTTCTGCATGGTCTGTGGTTTATTTTTGGCACACTCTCAGCCAGTTAGACCCACCCGCCATGCTGACGGCTCATGCAGGATTAGGCTGCTCTCCCCAGTTAACAGCAAAGCCTGGCCAGGCAAGGGGAGTCTTCCTGAGGCCCCCTACCCGAAGTTACACTGCCCCAGGAGAAACCTAGCCAGGTGGTTAACTATGCTTTTCTTTTCAAATGTCTTAAACTGTACAAATTCCCCGGGGCAGTACATTCTAGTCTTTAAAAAATCATCAAAGTCACCTAATTGGAGCAGCAAACTCAGCTGCTGTGATACATGAACGGTCTCCCTAAAGAATAGGGAGGGCGTTCCATTTTTACACCAGTTATACCACGTTTTCTTGTGAAATACAGATTTGGGGGAAGTTGTTTTAATGCATAAAGCAATTTGGGTTCAATTAAATTTTGGTCACCTCTGACTCCACCACGGTTCATTGCAGGACTAATGTACAGGCTTTGTGGTACCATTCTAACTGCTAAGCAGTTGGACCCCGCTCCCCGCCTCCCCAGGAGCCCAAGACTCCTCTTTCCCACTGTTTGGTAGAGAGTGCTTGTACCTGAAAGCTCACCAAATAGCATTTCTTTGCATGCGTACATCCAGATCCACCCCCCGCCCCGCCCCGTTAACAGTATATCCTCTCCAGTATATCAAAAGCACGCTCTGCCATATGAAACCGAAAACTACTGTGGGGTGCTGGTCTCCCGACCTTTCTCTCCCTACATTAATCCCCCAAGAGCACGATCTAGGTCTTGCTTTTTCCAGACTTGGGAAGGTGAGACTGTCATCTCACAGCCGAGCCAGGGCCCAGAGAAATGAAAAACTCGACCCTTGGAGTGTTAGTCAGTGCACATAGCGAAAAAATTTAAATACACAGAGGGTATAAAATAGAAAAGAAAAAGATCTGTTTTCCTTTCTGCTTTTGCCCATCTAATTCCCTAGGGGCCACCACTGTTAGGTTTCTTGTGTAAAGAAAGACATGATTTACACAGAGATATTGTTAAATTTGAAGGTTTCTGTTAAGCTATATATAGTATAGCTTTCAGGGAGTCATGAATGCTTGACTTTTGCACAGTATAGAGACAGCTGATAAGCCAGCCAAGTCTGTTGATACTGTATTTTTAGCATTTGATACCAGAGACACTTTCTACAGTCTCTGCTACAGTGATAATAGGATGTTCTATTTTTTAAAAAATTCTGTTTAACTAAGTGTCCTATTTGTGGTGACTCATCTTTCACTTATAGAAAAATCTGTACTTTATGGTGGAGCTGCCTTCCAGTTTAGATGTTCATCCAGGAGCCTTTGTATCTGTGTGTTCGCCTCTTCCCAGGCATGAGGCAGGAATCAGGGGTGACCCACTATCTTGGAAATTTGAGCTCCTGGCATTGGTCCCGTTGTCCCTCTGGGAGGGCTTCTCAGTCTCTGTCTCCTTTTTTTCTTTCGTCCCTCATTTACTGTATTCAGACCATATTCAGCTTCAGAAGGGAAATGGCTGACTTTGCCTACCCTGGGGACCACCTCTACCTCCCGATGAAGCCGCAGACAAAGAAGGCATCAGGACAAGAATTATTTCAACTAGTGGGTCTTTTTTTTTAAGAAAAAGTTTGTATTTCCTTGTGGACTCCCAGACTGTGTTTCTTCCATCTGCAGCTCGGGTTTCCCAGCACAGCTAGTGTAGCTGTGTTTGCTCTGAACGCTTCCTCTGATGGTCGGAAAACAGGCTGGTTGCCGTTGGCTTCCAGGTGGTGGGTGGAGTGGGGACTAACGTTATCTGTGTTTTCCTAAATGAAAACAGAATGGTGCCTTATAAGTTGGGCAACCATATACCCTGTTTGTCCAAGACAGTCTTTGTTTACTCTAGCATAATCATTAATAGTGTCCCCTTTCATTCTCAAAAGTGACCCGGTTTGAAAGACAATAGTCATCCAACTCAAAAGCCATGGTAAGGATTTGGGATAACCAAAAAACCAACCCACTGTTGTCAAGTCGATTCTGACTCATAGGGACCCTATAGGACAGAGTAGAACTGCCCCATAGGGTTTCCGGGGAGTGCCTGGGATTCAGACTGCCGACGTTTTGGTTAGCAGCCTTAGCTCTTAACCACAACGCCACCAGGGTTTCCCGTAAAGATAGTGAGACTTCAAGGTAGAAGTTCAGTTCCATACGACAGCCACAAGCGGTGGAAGCTGGAGGTGAGAGGAAGAGACTTGCTCTGGCTGGGTGGTCAGAGAAGGCTTCACAAAGAACGGGGAGTTAGGTGGGGCTTGAATGGACAGAAGGAGCCCTGGTGGCACAGTGTTTAAAGCGCTTGGCTGCTAAACAAAAGGTGAGTGGATCGAACCCACCAGCCGCTCTTTAAGAGAAAGCTTTGGCCGTCTGCTTCTGTTAAAGATTAAAACCAAACCCGTTGCCATTGAGCTGATTCTGACTCCGAGCGACCCTATAGGACAGGGTATAAGTGCCCCATAGGGTTTCCAAGGAGCGGCTGGTGGATTTATTTTTTTTTATTTTTTCCCATACAAAAATTTATACATACACTGTTACGTGACTCTTAATTGCTGTCCCCATACTGTGACAGCACCCTCCTCCTTTCCACCCCTGATTCCCCATGTCCATTCAACCAACTCCTAACCCTCTCTGCCTTTCTGTCTCATCTCCGGACAGAAGCTGCCCATTTAGTCTCTTGAATCTAGTTGAGCTAAGAGGCACATGCCTCACGAGTATCACTTTATGTCTCATAGTCCAGTCCAATCCCTGTCTGAAGAGTTGGCCTCAGAAACTGTTTTAGTTCTGGGCTGATAGAGAATCTGGGGGCCATGCTTTCTGGGGTTCCTCCAGTCTCAGTCAGACCATTAAGTCTGGTCTTCTTACTAGAATTTTAGTTCTGTGCCCCACCTTTCTCCTGCTCCATCAGGGACTCTCTGTTGTGTTCCCTGTCAGGGCGGTCATTGGTGGTAGCTGGGCACCATCTAGTTTTTCTGGTCTCAGGCTGATGCAGTCTCTCGTTTATGTGGCCCTTTCTATCTCTTGGGCTAATACTTTCCTTGTGACTTTGGTGTTCTTCATTCTCCTTTACTCCAGGTGGTTGGGACCAATTGATGCATCTTAGATGGCCGCTTGCAAGCTTTTAAGAGTGGCTAGTGGATTTGAACTGCTGACCTTTGGTTAGCAGCTGAGCTCTTAACTGCTGTATCACTAGTTCTCCATCCGTAAAGATTACAGCCTTGGAAACCCTATGGAATAATTCTACCCTGTCCTATAGGGTCAGTATGAGTTGGAATTGACTTGAAGGCAATGGGTCTGTTTTTTATTTTTATTTATTTTTTTGGTTTTGAATGGACAGGGAGGGTCCGAGAAAGAAGATGGAAGGGAGCTACTGTTTACAGAGTGGGCACGTGCTAGCTCATCCCATCATCATTATGCCAGGAAATCTGTAACGGTGTTATCCTCATTTTTACATGAGGACATTGAGGCTGAGAAAGCCCAAAGTCCCACCACAAGTAAGAAGCAGACTAGGATTCAGCCCCAAAGTCTGTAATTTTTTCACTTGGCACCTCTGCTGCCTTCAGGAAGGAAGAACAAATAGTGCGAACGGGCAGAGCTGGGAATGTGCATGCCATGTTTGCGGGCGATGAACAAACCAGTCAGGCTGGTGCTGGTGGGGGAAAGGGATGCCGCCTCCCTTGTCACCCCTGTTCCAAGACTTGCTAGGATTCGTTTTGTATTTCCTTGTAGTTGCTGTCTGGGCTTTGCTGAGCGCAAGGGGAAAGCCAGTTATTCACCTCCCTTTAGAGATCATTTCTCCTCACCTCAGAGCCGTGAAGTTGTATTTGCTGCCTACTTCCTGCTTAGCCTTCTCTTGATCTTGGGTATCTGATTGATCCTGACTCAGCTGCCGCTGGGAATGAAGCAGCACTAACCTAAATGAGTTTTGGAAAGGTTCTCTGAGGGCATCTTCATGCCCAGCGATAGGTCTCATCCCCTTGCTCTGCCTTTTCTCTGTTCCTCTTACTCTTTCTCCAGAGTCAGGACCATACGGCCTCTCGTGTTTGTCTAGTTCCTTCCCTAGAGAACATAGTGCCCCCCCTTACTGCTTCAGCCAGCAAGTTATCTCTGCAGCCACTTATCTCAAGTGCTTTTCTGTCACTTTGGGCCTCAGCCATCCGGGCAGCTCTTGGTATCCGGGAAACAAAAGAGGGCCTTCTCTGGTATCGGGAGGAGGAATTGCAAGTGAGAGGGGTTATTATAGGACTGGAGTCTTGGGTACAGAATTCTCTTATTATGTTGGAAAAAGAGTTTAATGTTGAAAGAGAACCTCCCTCCCCTGTGCATGGGCCTTGGCTGCCCCACTCTGGAAATAGGTTCCAAGAAATGGGTGCAGGGGAGAACCTAAGGGCAGACTTCTCCCAGGGGCCCTCTGCCGCAAACCCTAACAGATAGCCTCTGCCTTTTATGCTTCTCTCTAGGGGTGGGAGTAGGACATGGGTGAGAGGGTGGTTTAAAAACCAAAGCCTGTCTAGTAACTAAACAGAGCAGCTTACTCCACCAGTCGTCTTCCACAGTTTCCCTTTCTGGCTGTGGCTGCCCAGTTTGGGGGTGGAGGAGTGGCCTCATAGGGAACGATTCCAGGTTTCCGTAGAGTCTCTTTTTTCCCTAAAGTTACATTACCTTGCTGTGTTTTTCTCCTCTGAACTACGTTCCCACTTTTCTAAAGTCTTCCATCTAGCAAATCTTCCCTTATTGAGAAAGCCAGTGTGTCTGCATTTTTACCTTCCTATAACCAGTAGTTCTCAGTAGGGACAGTTTTGCCCCCTAGGGGACATTTGGAGCCCTGGTGGCACAGTGGTTAAGAGCTCTGCTGCTAACCAAAAGGTCAGCAGTTCGAATCCGCCGGCCGCTCCTTGGAAACCCTATGGGACAATTCTACTATGTCCTGCTGGGTCGCTATGAGTTGGAATCGACTTGATGGCAACAGTTTTTTTTTGTTTGTTTTTTTTGGTTAAGGGACATTTGGCAAGTCTGGAGACATTTTTGATGGTCACAGTTGGGGATGCTACTGGCATCTAGTGAGTAGAGGCCAGGGATGCTGTCATCCTGCAGTGCACAGGACAGCCCCGCTAACAGAGAATTACCCAGTCCAAAATGCCGACAGTGCTGCAGGTGGGAAACCCTGCTATAACTAGCGCGTCTCATTTTGTCTCTCCTCACCCATTTCCTCTCAGAAGCAAGCTAAGATAGAAGTTCAAAAGTAAACTAGTTAAGAGAGAATGCAGACAGACACGCGCACACTAATGTTCACTGCAGCGCTATTCACAATGGCCAAAAGGTGGGAACAACCGAAATGTCCGTTAGCAAATGAATGGATAAACAATATGTGGTATATCCATAGAGTGGAATATTACCCAGCCATGAAGAGGGATGAAGTCCTGATATATGCTACAACATGGGTGAACCTTGAAATACTATGCTGAGTGAAGTGAGTCCATCACAAAAGGATCCTACTTATATGAAATGTCTAGAATAGGCAAATGTAGAGAGACCAGAGTTTATTAGTGGTTACCAGCGGCAGGAGGGAGGAAGGGGTTAAGGGGGAAGTGTCTTAGGCTGGTTCTCTAGAGAAGCAAAACCAGTGAAGTGTATAAATATATATAAAGAGAGATTTATTTCAAGGAAATGGCTCACATGGTTGTAGAGGCTGGAACGTCGCAGGTCCATGGGTCAGGATAGAGGCTTCTCCTGATTCAAGTAGCCACAGGGGCTGGTGAACCCAAGATCGGCAGGTCAGAGAGCAGGGCTCTTGCTCACAGGCTGCGAAGATCGCTGAATCCCAAGATCAGCAGATGAGACTGCAGGTAAGCTGCTAGCTCAAGTCCCAAGAACTGGAAGTCAGACGAACAGGAGCCAGCTGCAGGATCCAGAGCAAGCAAAAGCCCACGAGCCTTGCCAGAATATCTGCTTACGTTTGATGCAGGCCATACCCCCAAGGAAACTTCCTTTCAACTGTTTGGCTGATCACAGCAGATTCCGTCATGGAGGTGATCACGTTATATCAGATCTCATCATGGAAGTGATTACAACATCATATGACTGCCAAACTAGTGAGAATCATGGCCCAACCAAGTTGACACACAGCCTTACCCATCACAGGAAGTGTAGCTTAGGAAGGATTGAGTGTCTTTCAGGTGATGGAGGGTTTGGCAATGGATACTGGTGATGGTTGCGCAACATGATTAACATGATTGTTGTTGTGGAATTGTACACATGAAGGATATTAAGTTGGCAAGTGCTGTGTTATATTTATTTTAAAACAGTTAAAAAAAAAGAGAGAAGGCTTTTACCCTAAGCTGAGCCGGAGGCTTTATGATCTCACTCCACCCAGCAGAATGCTCATACCTGGAGTGAAGTCATTCTATTTTTTTTTTTTTTTTTATTGTACTTTAGGTGAAGGTTTACAGAACAAATAGTTTCTCATCAAACAGTCAGTACACACAATGTTCCATGACACTGGTCAACAACCCTATGACATGTCAACCCTCTCCCTTCTCAACCTTTTTTTTTTTTTTTTTGTGAAAATATGCATACCCAAAGATAAACCATTTCAAAAATTTCAGCATGCACAGTTCAGTGACATTGATTACATTCTTCCAGTTGTGCTGCTATTCTCACTTTAGATGAAGGTTTACGGAACAAAACAGTTTTTCTTTAAACAGTTAGTACACATGTAGCCCTATGACAAAGGTTAACAACCCCACTAAATGTCAACACTGTCCTTACTCAACCTTGGGTTCCCTATCACCAGCTTTCCTGTGCCCTTCTGCCTTCTAGTCCTTGTCCCTGGACTGCTGTGCCTCATTAGTCCCGTTTTGTTTTATGGGGCTGTCCAATCCCTGGCTGAACGGTGAACCTCGGAAATGACTTCGCCACTGAGCTACAAGGGTGTCTGGAGGCCATACTCTCGGGGTTTCTCCAGTCTCCTTCAGGCCAGCAAATTTGGTCTTTTTTGTGTGTGTTAGAATTTTGTTCTGCATCCTTCTCCAGCTCTGTTCAGAACCCTCTGTTGTGATCCCAGTCAGAGCAGTCTGGTGGTAGCTGGGCACCGTCTAGCTGTACTGGACTCAGTCTGGTGGAGGCCTTGGTAGCTGTGGTCCGTTAGTCCTTTGGACTAATCTTTTCCTTGTATCCTGTTCTCTTCATTCTCCCTTGCTCCCGAAGGGGTGAGACCAGTGGAGTAGCTTAGATGGCTGCTCATAGGCTGAAGTCATTCTTAAAGTACCTACCTTACTGAGTTGTTTTGAGGATTAAATGATTAGTTCATACAGGTAAAAGTATTGAAGTAATGCCTGGCACATTCAATAAATGTTTAAAAGCAAAAACAAAAACAGAAACTCTGTATCTGCTACTGTGGACACTGCAGGCCTTAATGTATTTTATTGTTTAATACTCTGATAGCCAGAAAGATGCAAGGGAACAAGGCTTATCATAACAGTAGGTGTCCTTCCCTCCTCAGAGTTCTTAACAGCGGCTGGACTTTTCAGAGGTTTCAAAGTAAAAGTCCCAGTAGCAGCAACAATTCTTGTCTCTACCCTTTAATCTGAACCTGTTGGGAAGGTGTTGGTTCTGTCTGGTTATCATGGAGGCTTCTCTGGGTAGCGGGCGTTTTCATGGACAACTAGATAAGTGACTCGATCTTATTTTCACCTTTATACTCAAAGTCTCTTCACCTGTGCTCGTGATTTAGAAGTGTAAGGATTCTTGTCTCTGTTTTGAAAGTGGGAAAAGCCAGAGCTGATATGCCTAAGAGCGTGGCTTTAACAAATCAGCTACCCCAAATGCTTTGCCTTTGACTTCCCCTCAAGTGTCCAAAGAAACATCAGAAATCATAGAATTATTTATAGCTGTTCTTTTGTAAGTTAGCGTTTAGGAGACTGTAAGAGAGAGGGAAGAATGTTTTTCTGCTAACCAGGTATGTGGCTTAGCCAAATTGCTTCTATCCTCTCTGCTAATAGCACATCCATAAAATGAGGACCCACGAGGTTCTCTGACCTGTGTGCTCCAGGAAGATGAATGGGAGGATGTGGTGAAGCCCTACAAGAGTACAGAGTAAGTGGAAGTGGTGCAGATGCTGTTCTTAGTTTCTGACTCTCCCTTCTTCCCAGGACTCCCGACCTCTACATGTTGTACTGGGAAATGAAGCCTGTGACCTGGACTCCATGGTGTCTGCTCTCACTCTGGCTTTCTACCTGGCAAAGGTGAGTACCTGGAGCCCATGTGGTGCGGTGGTTAAGAGCTCAGCTGCTAACCGAAAGGTCGGCAGTTTGAATCCACCAGCCGCTCCTTGGAAGCCCTGTGGGGCAGTTCTACTGTGTCCTGTAGGGTTGCTATGAGTTGGAATCGACTCGACGGCAATGGCTTTGGTTTTGGTAAAGGTAAGTCCCTGGGAACAGTGTCCCTTAGAATGAAAAGACTTGGATTCAAGACCCAGCTCTGCCACTTAGCAGCATTTAGCCTTGGGCAAGTTAAATCCCTTAACCTTGCTAAGTCTCATGTCACCATCTATCAGATCTGGAATGATAATATTTCACAGTGTTACTGTGAGGGTCAAATGAGTAAATGTATCTCGAAGGATTTGTAAACCATAAGGCAGTCTTCAGATTATCATTGAGTTCCTTACGGTGTCAGTGATCCACTGTGGATTGCTCTTGCCCAGGTCAGCTCTTGAGGACTGATAACTCTTTTTCCGCAGTATCTAGAACTAGGTCTTTTCCATTTGTTATGTTGTTGACTTATTTCTAAGAAGGATGGAGGGCAGGAGTGGTACCTTCTGTTTTTATAGACTTGGTAATCATGACTTTGGGGAATGAGGTAAATTGCCCAAGATCCATGGCTCCCTTGGTCCCAAGAGTCTTGTTACTTTTTCCAAAAATCACAATACCTTCTTCTCACTTCCCATCCAGACAACGGAGGCCGAGGAGGTCTTTGTGCCAGTTTTAAATATAAAGCGTTCCGAGCTACCTCTACGAGGTGACAACGTCTTCTTTCTTCAGAAGGTTCACATTCCAGAGTCCATCTTGATTTTCCGGGATGAGATTGACCTCCATGCACTACACCAGGCTGGCCAGCTCACCCTTATCCTCGTTGACCATCATGTCTTACCCAAGTAAGTGGAAGGAAGTTAAGTTGGTATTTATCGTGTGTCATGCTGGGCTCTGATGAGTTAGATACAGAGGGAGGAAGGAAGAATTTTGCTTTCCGGGATCTCACAGGCTGATCGTAGTTGATGGGTCATACCAGATACAGAAAATATTGCCCAGTCTTCAGTTATGCAAGAGATAGAAACATGGAGAGTTCAAAGTAAAGGATAATTCAGAAATCATTTCCATCTACTTTTGGTCTCATTGTTTTAAGATTTTAGGACAGATTTATTGTAATAGAACCTTTCAGTAAGAGTTACAACACTTTCATTTTTACAAAGTTAACAAAAGCATTTTCTACATAAACTCTTGGTGAATTTAGAATAATGGGTTATGGAGAGTCTGTAAGTATCTCATTGGTGTCTATTTAACAAATGTGCACACCTATGTTAATTCCACCCCTCATTTAGGACTGGTCAAAAAGCAACACTAGTACAATTCCTTCCAAAGTCTGTCTGGCTCCTGCTGGTATTAAAGTGTCTGTTTTTTCCTGGAGTAAACTGTGGTTGTCACAGAACATGGGCAGAAGGTAGCCCAAGTACATGAACCCATCCATGCATTCACTCATTAATAAATTTTATTTAGAGGATAAGGGTGAGACAGAGTCCCTGTCCCCAAGAGGGAGCTAGGTGATAGAGGTGAGTGGGGACTGTCACTCTAGGGGACAGACAGTAGGTGCATAAAGGATGGATTGCCCGGTTACACCAGAAGGGAGCAGTAGGCACCAGGAAGGGCTTCCTAGCAGAGCTGACCCTTAATCTAAGCCCTGCAAGAGATCTGGGTGTTTGCCCAGTGAACGGGCAGGAAGGCAGTTAGGAAAGGCATTCCAGGCAGAGGGAGTAATTGATATTGGCAAAGGCAGGCAGGCAGGAAATAATAGGCTAGTGAGTTAGGGAACTGGAGTTTGTCTTGCACGGCTGGAGCATAAAATGTGAGGGAGAAGTAGAACATAGAGAAAAGATAAGACTGGAGAGCTAGGTGGAGGCAGATCATGGAGGCCAGGTAGGCCCTGCTGAGGAGATTGGACTTGATTCTTGGACATTGGGGGGCTACTGTTAATTATTACTTATTCAGGGTCCTAACAATCAAATTTGTATTTTCAAATGATTACTCAGGTAGCTCTGTAGAGGACAGTTTGGGAGAGCCCAAGACTGAAAGCAGGTGATTGATTAAGAGACTATTGGAATAGTCCAGATAAGATATAATGAGGGTTGGAATGGTGGTAGCAGAGGGTTGTAAAGGAGAGAATATATAGGAATTGATAACTGATAATGAGAGAGAAGCCACAGGACCTGGTGATTTGATGGTTTGCGAATTCTGTGGATTGAGGGAATAGGAGAGATTGGGATGTCGGGTGTCAGGAGAACGTGGTTTGGGATGATATTTGCAGTAGATAATTTACCCAATTCACTTATATACTACTTCAGAGTGACTTCAGTTGTAACATTAAAGAATTGAGAGGTAGAAGTGTCCAGAAGGCTACCTGCTTGCCTAAGGCATCTGCGTTTTCCCTCACGCATGAGGTGGGGATTGGTTCCAGGCAGCTGGAGCGCCCGACCTGTCTCTCTTTTCCCCTCTGCCCTTCCAACAGGAGCGATGCAGCCCTCCAGGAGACGGTAGCAGAGGTGCTAGACCATCGGCCCATCGAGCAGGAACACTGCCCTCCCTGCCATGTTTCGGTTGAGCTGGTGGGGTCCTGCGCTACCCTGGTGACTGAGAGGATCCTGCAGGGGGCACCAGAGATCTTGGACAGGCAAACCGCAGCCCTTCTGCATGGTGAGGACTTCCTGCACGGTGAGGGTGGTTTGGGGGTTGGGACCTGACTAGGTCCTCGATTCCTGCCCCAGAGGAGGGACGGTAGAAAAGTCTAGACTCTTCCAGCCTGAGCATACCTTCTCAAAGCCTCAGCCTATACCAAAGGATGGGATTCCTTCAGAGAGAAATTAGGCATTGGAGTAGAGCTGGGCTAGACTGTCTGTTCCAATTTATTAAGACTCTTTAGTGAAATTTGTACTGAAAAGAGGCAATCTCTGTGACTGGGCTGCGAATCTCCAAGGATTGAGATGCTCAGGCTTCCTTTCTGCCTTTCCCCCATTTCCCTACGTCCATTCTGGTTTGGATTTGGCAGGTTTTATTCAGGACACAGTTGGTCCCACTATTCTGTTTTGTTCTCAGTGTGTTTGCCGTACAGTCTCCTTTGTACTGTGTCTGTTTGGTTTGAGGGTTACGTGTGTAGTGGTTGTGAGTGGAGGGCCACAGGATTTGAGTTCTGCAATCTCCCTTCTCCATAGGAACCATCATCCTGGACTGTGTCAACATGGACCTTAAAATTGGAAAAGCAACTCTAAAGGACAGGAGATATGTGGAAAAATTGGAGGCTCTCTTCCCAGATCTGCCCAACAGAAACGATATCTTCGATTCCCTGCAGAAGGCAAAGTTTGATGTATCAGGTACCCAAAAACCTGCGGTCGCTGAGTGGATTCCGACACATAGCGACCCTGTAGGACAGAGTAGAACTGCCCCATAGGGTTTCCGAGGCTGTAAATCTTTACGGAAGCAGACTGCCACATCTTTCTCCCATGGAGCGGCTGGTGGGTTCAGACCACCAACCTTTTGGTAAGCAGCCAAGTGCTTTAACTTCTGCATCACCACGGGTGTTCAGATGACTTCCCATCACATGAGAAAACAGGTGGGCAAGCCTCGTGCGTTATGTTCTTGAACACCATCAGAACAGTTTCAGGGCAGGCACGGTGCTTTCTAATTAAGTGTAAGCCGGGGAGAAAGTAACATGTGAGTCTGATTGTCATTTACTGGATTGTTCTCTCCAGGCTCTTGGGTAGGATGAGGAGGAATATAATATATTAAGAGTCTCAGAGGTTTCCAGTCTAGTCAGAGAACATTGGACATATAAATAAAATATACTGAGGGAATACTGAATTATCAGAGTGAGAACTGGGTGGTCAGGGAAGCAGAAGAAACTTTTAGGATGAGCATACAAAGGATAAAAGAAGAGAACAAAAACTCTTCTATAAATTTCTACCCACCTACCACCTGTTGACATCAAAAAAAAAGGAAGTACCACATGTACAAATCCAGAAGAAACCAAACTCATTGCCGTTGAGTCAATCCCAACTCATAGTGACCCTACAGGACAGAGTAGAACTGCCCCCTAGGGTTTCCAAAGAGTGGCTGGTAGATTCGAACTGCTGACCTTTTGGTTAGCAGCTGTAGCTCTTGACCACTGCGCCACCAGGGCTCTGTATAGAGATTGCAATTTAAAATAAGGCAGAAAGGGGCAAAGGTAGAAACTTCTCTTCTTTCTACTCTTTGTTCCAAAGTCCCTTTCTCCAGAGGTAACTATTGTGACTCAATTATCGACAGTAAGTTTTGATCGTATAGTTACATTTTCAGTTCTCTCCTTACCATTCATTGCCCCATTGTTTTTCCTCGTCTCTGACCAGTCTTGGTGTCCTGGGCTCTCCCGTTGATATGTAGCCTTGTGTCCACTTTCTAGGGCTGACCACTGAGCAGATGCTGAGGAAGGACCAGAAGACCATCCACAGGCAAGGCACCAAGGTGGCCATCAGCGCCATATACATGGATTTGGAGGTGAGAGCAGATGTGGGTATCAGTTGGGAGAAAATCATCTGATTGTGTATGTCACCTTGTTCCTCGTTGCACATTACACCCAGTTTGTCAGTAAACCCTGCTGGCTCCCCTCCCAAACATACCTTGTACCCATCCACTTTTTCCCGTCTCCACTGTGACCACGGCCTTCTGTGATTGCTCCCCTGTGACCCCTCCCCCCGGGTTTCCCCACCTCCACTCTGCAGCCCTGCAGACAGTTTTCTCCACGGTCGCCAGGGTGATCTCTTTAAGCTGTAAACCGGATCATACCCGTCCCCTCTCTTCACTGCCTGCTCATTGTGCTTCTCCTACAATCTAAATGCCTTCCTGTGGTTCACAGGCCCCACTCGTTTGGCCCGTCTTTCTCCGTGACCTCATTTCACTCCAGCCCACTCCTGCACTCACAGTGCTGCAGCCACACTTGTCTTCCTTGTGTCCCTCAGAAGCACTGAGCTCCTTCCCAGCTCAGGGCCTTTGCCCTTCTGTTTTCCCTTTGCAGAGCTAGCTCCTTCTTACTGCCCAGGTCTCGGCACAGATGGCTCTTCTTTGAGAGGTTTTTCCTGACCACCCTAACGAAGTGATGTCCTTCATGCTCAGAAATCTCTAGCACTTAGTCTTGTTTTGTTTTCTCTGTAGCACTTAACACTCTGAAATTATCTTGTTTTGTGGTTTTCCTTGTTGATCGTCTATCTCCTTTCAAGATTTTCTCAGCTCCCCCAGAGCAGGGACCCCGTTTCTTTGGTTTCTGTTGTACCTCCTGTACGTTTGACAGGGCCGGCACATAGTGGAGGTGCAGTAAATTTTGCTGGATGGGTGAATGAGATAACTTTGCCAATGGAGTTTGTTTCAGCACCTTCAAGAGCAACATTTAATTATAAAGCATGTTAAAATTACCCACTGCCGTTGAGTCGATTCCAACTCATAGTGACCCCATAGGGTTTCCAAGGCTGTAAATCTCTGTGGAAGCAGACGGCCACATTTTTCTCCTGCGGAGTCGCTGGTGGTTTCAAACTGCCGGCCTTTCGGTTAGCGGTCGATCGCTGTAACCATGGCGCTGCCAGGTCCCCTTAGATTAACATTAACATGTCTTAAATTCTGTGCATGTGATTAGTCTATTAGATTGAATGTAGTTACATGTACATCGGTACTCATGATGATGATGATGTCACCTCACAGTACTGAGCGGTTTCTATAGGCGGGCACTGTGCTGGGTGCTTTACCGACAGTGTCTCATTCGGTCCCGCCGACAACCCCGTACACTTGGTACTGTTATTGTTTCCAGCCAGAGGCGTCAAGAGTTTTGTGCAGAGTGTGGTACAGCCAGTCGGTGGACTGTACGCACAAACGTGGCTCAAATAGAAACGCTGTGTTATATAACTTTATCACAAAAAAAGAACTTATTTTTAAAACAATAAAGAGTTTTCAGAACAACAACAATAAAGAATTAGCATATTTTGTCTCCTACTGAACCAGAAACCAGAGGATGAAAGTTGGGAATGTCATAAAGACGGAACACTGGCTCCGTGCAAAACTAATAATAGTAATTGTTATTGTTGTTGCTACTGTTATTGACCGCTGTGCCAGGCACTGTGCTTGATGCTGTACAGGGAGAGCTATTGGCATGGGGTGTAGCTCCCCTTTTCCCCTGGTACCTGGGTTCATGTTGTATTGGTTTATATCAGTCAGCGACCTATCTGAGCACGTACAGTTGTGCTCTGCACAGCTTCCCACTAAATTCGATCAGGAAAAAATTAAACAAACAAGTGAAATAGCGTGACCACTGCCCTTGAGACTCTTCTAACCTAGTTTGGGAAACAAACATGGGAACATCAAAGGCTTGCCAAGGACCCTGCCCTCAGTACAAAATGACACATTAGACACGCCAGGGATGAGGGAAAGTCACGATCTGAAAGGGGCGGTGGTGTCACTCCCTGGAGAAAATATGGCGCTAGATTTTGGAGAACAGTACAGCTTGGCAAAGAAGGAGGAGGCCGCGATGTGTTTGTCACGTGTCTGTTCTTACGTGTGTGCACCGCTGCTCTGGTTCAGGATACAACATCCACAAGGCAGAGACCTTGCCTATTTGATTGCAGGAGCTGGAGAGCCTTGTGGGTGCCAGGTACTTCCCATACGTTATCTTTTTTTTAATTAATTTATTTTTTTATTGTACTTTAGATGAAAGTTTACAGAACAGTTTCTCATTAAACAGTTAGTACACATACTGTTTTAGGACATTGCTTAACAACCCCAGTACATGTCAACACGCTCCCTTCTCGACCTTGGGTTCCCTATCACCAGCTTTCCTGTCCCCTCCTGCCTTCTCGTCCTTGTCCCTGGGCTTGTGTGCCCCTTTAGTCTCGTTTTGTTTTATGGGCCTGTCTAATCTTTGGCTGAAGGGTGAACCTCGGGAGTGACTTCATTCTGAGCTAAAAGGGTGTCCAGGGTCCATAGTCTCGGGATTTCTCCAGTCTCCAACAGGCTAGTAAGTCTGGTCTTTTTTTGTGAGCTAGAATTTTGTTGTACATTTTTCTCCAGCTCTGTCCGGGACCCTCTGTACATACGCTATCATTTTTAGTTCTTAAAACAATCACTGTTCAGTAAGTGTTTTATCATTATTTTACAGATGAGGGGACTAAGATCCAGGAAGATTAATAGAACTCCCTGATCGTATAGTTAATAGGGAGTGGAGCTGTGTCTGGACCCAAAGCCTTTGTTCTCCCCGCTCTCCCACGCTGCCTCCCCGGTACACAGATACCACAGAGTAAATACTGGGTAGGTTTTTTTACGGAGCACAGGTCCTGCTGGTTCCCACGGGAAGAAACCCTTCCTAGGGATTTTTTGCTGACGGTGACGAGGGTCCAGCCCCAGCCCTCCCCTCTCTCTCGTTCCCTCTTTCAGGCCTTTCTGCAGAGGTCTGGCCTCATTGCAGATCTTCGTGCTTTCTGCCAGGCCCACAGCTGCGATGTCCTGGTCGCCATGACTATCTTGTTCAACACGAACAACGAGCCAGTGCGACAGTTGGCTGTTTTCTGTCCCCATGTGGCGCTGCGAATGACGGTGAGTCTCTGTCCCTCCTCCAACCGGGAGGCCCTGCGGAGCCCTGCCTCTAAGCACTGCTCTGTTCTGTAAGGCCCTCTCCTTCATTCTTAGATTTATACAGAGGTCCCGTGACCTATTTCCAGAATCCCCCATTTCCCGTTTTTTTCAGTCTCTGTACGTGTGAATAGCCTTAAGCAGGCGGATGGTTGAGAAAGGGGGTTGCCAAAGAGAATGAGAGACACAGTTCCTACTTAGAAGGAAATGTTATAAATCTGGAGTTAGACCTCGATCTTCATGAATTCCTCACCCCTGGAAACCAGGTCCTTTCTTCCTACCCTACTGCCTTAAAAATTGGAGACACAAGAGAAACCTTGTCTGCAGGGATTCATGGTTACTCTTACAGCGAGAACTCCAGAGAAGTGACCTAGCAGAGGTTTGTTTTCTTTCCTGACCTTCACCTGGCCACTCTTCCCCACCTCCTCTCCCCTCTCCTCTCTGTTGGTTACTGATTAACTCGGGGAAGAATTTAAACATGGACTAAGGCAGTCCAGGGACTGGTTTGCTTGGGCTGTGTGAGGGTTACTGAAGACAGCCAGATCATCTTTTTCACCCACAAAAGGTATGCCTGCCTTTCCCACGTCTCTTCTCCTCCGTCTTTTCCCTCGGGAAGCCAATGTAGTTTCATTCAATGGAAGGTAGTTGGCATTGTGGAAAGAACGGCCCTTTTGAAAGTCAGGTGGACTTGCTTCTCTGCCCCAGGCTTGTCACTTACTAGCTCTGTGGGCAAAGGCAAGCCAGTTCACCTTGTAATCTATTTCCTCGTCTATAAATGGCATAACAGTACTTACCTCATTGGTGTGATGTGATATTTAAACAAAATGTACGTGAAGTATGTTGCCAGGCACAGAGTTAGCACCCGGTAACTGGTGGCTGTTACTAATAATGTCGGGAAGGAAAGGGTGCTTTGGCACAGAAAGTGCTTCTCCCTGCCTTCCTGAATCCAGTCCTCTGGGCTGCTGCTCTGAAGCTGCGTGGCTGTCTGAGAACTCTGCCTTCGTCCAGCCCATCTCTGTGCTGGGAAACATGAGTCCCTCCTTCTGTGGTCTGGCTGCTCCATCTCCTCTCTTCCTCTGACTTTCCAGTTAAAAAAAAAACAGTCACCAACAAGTCGATTCTCACTCATGGTGCCCCGTGTGTGTCAGAGTAGAACTGTGCTCCATAGGGTTCTCAGTGGCTGAATTTCAGCAGTAGATCACCAGGCCTCTCTTCCAAGGCACCTCTGGGTGGACACGAACCACCAACCTTTCAGTTAGCAGCCAAGCGTGTTACGTTAGGGCTAGGATAATATAGTGATTTAGAACGCAGGCTTCGGTGACAGACCAGGGATCGAGTCTCAGCTTTGCTTTATACTATGATCTTAGACAAGTTACCTAACCTCTCTAAGCCTCAGTTTTTCCACCTGTAAATGGGAGTAGTAGGAATACCAATCTTATAAGGTTGTCATGAGGATTAAATGAGATAATGCTTGTAAACAGCCAGACTTGACACCATGCCTGGTATATAGTAAGTTCTCAATATTATTTGTTTATTCATTCTTTCTGCCTCTGCCCTTTCCCTCAGCTTTCCCCGTTAAGGTAGGGTTCAGGTTTTTTAGTATAGGAATATACTAGGAAACAACCGTACATGAGGAGCTGGGGACCTGGGTTCTGGTGCAGATGTTGCTGTTATCCGCATGATGTTGCTCGCTGCACTGAATATCTCTGAGCATTGGGCTCCTCGTTGATCAAATGAAATCTACGATCTCAAGTGTTTCTTCTGCTTCGAAAATACTGTGTATATTAGCTGAGGTTCCTGTTGTTGTAAGAAATAAAACTGAACTCTGGCTGACTTAATCAAACAATGTTTTCTCTTCTGTAAGGGAAGCCTCTAGTTTAGAAGCCCAGCTCTTTGCTGTTCCAGCCTATGTATCCCTCGTCTGTGCGTGCCGGTCTCTTTTTCAGATCTGTGGAGTCCTGGAACGCTCCCACGCTCCCTCCCTGAAGTTAACTCCTCTCCCAAGCACCCATCCTGACCTCCAAGCCTATCTTCAAGGCAACACCCAGGTCTCCCGAAAGAAACTCCTGCCTCTGCTCCAGGAAGCCCTGTCAGCATATCTGGACTCCACGCAGATCCCTGCAGGGCTGCCTGAGATGGTGGGTGTGTCCACGGAGCCGGTGGACAAGGAAGGGAACAGTGCAGGTAACTCCCTGCTTCCTGGCGTGAGTCAGGACGAAGAGGAGCCTCCACTGCCGCCCACGCCCATGAACAGTTTGGTGGATGAGTGCCCTCTGGATCGAGGACTGCCTAACCTCTCAGCTGAGGCCATCTTTGAGAAATGCAGCCAGATCTCGCTGTCACGGTCGACCGCTGCCTCCCTGGCAAAGGAGTGACTCTTGGGAGGGGAGGGGAGAATGGGCAAGGTCTCTTAACCCACTTCAAATGCATGTTTTGAGATGTTCGGAGATTTCGGCAGTTCTGTCCTCACTGCTCCAGGATCGGGCATACTGCTCTCAGAAAGCCGGGAGGAGGAAGAAGTGAAAGAAAGTAGCTGATTTGAGAATGGCTTCCTGCTTTCCCCGCAGTCCCTACCAATCAGACAGATGCGATTATTAGTTAGTATTTAATTTTATTTAAATCTGAACTGACTTTTCTGTATCTCATTTGCCAGGGGCACAATGCAATACACATACAGTGCCAACAAAGTGGGGCAGAAAGAAGGCGTACCCCCAGTGTGCCCTCAGCGAGGACCTTGAACAGAACCAATGTCATGGAACCATACAGTCATTGATTGTCTCCATTTTATTCACTCATTCACGTGCTCATTCACATGTTTATTGAGCACCTCCTGAAGCTAGCTAGAGAGCAGAATGTGCTCCAGAGGCTCTCGCTCCAGTTTTCAGCCTTTAGCAGATTGCCAATTCTGTGACTCCTCTTTCTGCCCTCAGTTAGGTAATGGTGGCTTTCCATTCCTGACCTTGCTGTGACTGTCTTGTTTGGTAGCAGGTTGAGGCCATTATCTTCCGTCCTCATCGGGTGGCCTGACCCCGGTTCTTTGGCTCACTCTGTCCCAGAGCCACAGCAACCTTGAAGACCTCTGGTTCTTGAGAGTCCAGCAGGCACCCAGGGGGTCCATTGGACCTCATAGGCACTCTTTCCAAAAGACAGCAGAACTGCAGTGGGAGCCGTGTCTCTGTCCCCTGCCTTGGCAGGTCTGTCACTTCCTTGCCCATCTCTTTCTCTTCTCTTCTTGCTCATATTAAAAGAAATCATGGAGTCGCTGGATTCTAACACCGACCACCATGACTGTGTGACTTGTGGCAAGACACTCTGCGTCTCTGGATCCCACTCTCCCCATCTGTAAAATTAAAGGTTTGGATTAGATATTCTCTGGTATTCTGTGACCTGCCTCTTGCTGCCATCCTTTCTCTCTTCTGCCTGTCTGTATTCTTCTTCTGTCTTCCCTGGGAATGGCCAGGGTCGCTGGAGTGTCTGTATTTCTGTGATTGTACCAAGGGCCTTGGCCTCATGTAGCATGTGCAGGGTTATGACTCACCATGGCGACCCAGCAGAGAGCTCTCTCCCGTGACTTGTTCTGCATGTATATAAAGTCTCCCTTCTTTCTTTAGACCAAGTCATTCCTCCTCTTCTTAACCCACAGCTCTATTCCATGTAGGCTGCCAATAACTTCATGGAACATTGGTGTATGTGATGGTTTTGGCATGACGTCTTCCACTAGGGGGACTGTCTGAGTTCACTTGGAGGGGATGATGTCCGTAGCCATTTGGAAGGTAAAAACAGTGATGTAATCACTGAACCAAAGGAATTTACATTTTGTAACTTGGGTACTTTATTTTGCATTTTGTTAAAGTATTAAATATTCTTTTCCTGTTTGAGGTCTTATTGTGTCTTTTTACAACTATAATGAGGGCTTTCCCTCTGATAATTTTTCAGCCTCCTAAAGACTCCTACTCCCCTCTTCCTGATACACATTACTGTCTTCCTCCTGACAACCCCTTCTGGGAATACGGAGCAGCAGGCTTCCATCTCCCCTTCTCCTCAGCCTCAAATTTGTTCCTTCTTCCAGAACTCTCCTTATAACATACTTCCCACTCCCCAGTTTTGCTTATGCTTGAAAAACAGGCCTAAGATAGTCTTACAACGAAGATGGTTTCTACTGTCCCTTGTTTTAAAAAAACAGCTTCCAGAAGGTTATAAGGGATCTGGAAAGGAGAACAAATTGCCTTACCAAGACTTAGCCAAGACCAGCCATCCTAGGAAATGCTCTCTCCTCCCCAGCACCTGCCCGACGCAGGAGGCAGGGTTTTTCTTTTGGGCAAACCTGCTCCTTGGGAGGGGAGCTGGCAAAACCTGTTTGAAGATGAGTTTACCTCCTTTCCACGCCTCCCTTCTCCTTGGAAGCAACAGAAACAGTAGCCGAGACACAGAGAAAGGGTAAAGGCGTGTTGGGGAGCTGGGACAACCAGCTCCCCCAACAACCCCGCGTGTCTAAAGGAGACAGAAGACTTGGGAAGATGGAAACCATACAGGAGGCAGGAGAAAAGGCACTAGATCCTGGGTAAGTCCTGCCTTGCTTACTGGAAGTAGGAAATGAATAAGTAGTCCGGGGGGCTTTCCTGCCATCCAGCCTTTAGCAGGTCAAATCTTAGAGATCCTAGAGAGAATTAATTTGCCGGGAAGGGATGGAGGTGGCTTTAGGTAGAAAAGGTCAGTGTGCTATAGTAACTGGGGGACGGGGGATTCCAGAACAATCCCCTGCTCAGAAAAAGTGAAGTTTCTATATTTTGTCTGATAAATCTGCCCGTATTTTTCATTTTCCAATCCTTACCTTCCAGAATGGCCATCAGGAGAGCTGACCCAGAACTGAGTTTAGGTCCAGGTTCCCCTTCCAGCTAATCTCTGCCTCCTTCCCTTCCTTCTCCGCCCCTCACCTACGCCATGGTTTCCCCTAGCCACTCCCCAGCATGGCAGAGGAAAGGCAGGCCTGACAAGGCGCCATCCTCCCCAACTTTGCCCAGTGACAGCTGGGCAGGTCTGTCTGGGTTCCAGCCAATTATGATGTGGAACACCTCTCCCGCTTACTTTGTAGGTGGAGCAGCTGCCCTGGAAGTAAATATGATTAGCTTCACATTCTGTCTGTCCTCTGCTCCTAAACTAACAGTGGGGGGAATCTGCTTTCAGCAAGTGGTGAAGACGGGAGAAACATCTGTCTAGGAGACAAGAGATCTGAGTTTTTTTGATTTTTTGTTTTTTTAAGGCCTGCTCTGTGTACCTCAATTACTTTCTTCATTCCAATGTCCCCTACCTACTACCCAGCTCCATTAAGACACTGCCCAGGTTGTCTCACGATAATCCTTTCTTCCGGCGGACTCTTAGGGCCAGGGAGAATGCAGAAGCAGCAGAACTAGGAGCTGCTCTGAGACTTGGGGAGCTGGAGCTGAAGGAGAGCTGGCAGGATGAAGAATTCCCGCGGTGAGGAAGCGAGAGGGAGGCCAGGAGGAGGGAGGGATGGTCGCCAGTGGGGGGCAGCAACGGGGAATTAGAACTTGAAGGAAGAAGAGAGAGGATAGAGTCGTGGTGAGGAGAAAAAAGTGATAGACTGACACCTGGCTTGATGCCTTCAGCCTATATCTTTGCCTCCTTTTAATCATGTCCCCTCTAGATTGCTTTCTGAGGAGGCTGGTCCTTCTGAAGATCCTGCAGACCTTAAAGGAGACCCACAGGCAGGTAGGTGAAGTTAAGTTCCTGATTCTGGAACCCCTATCCCTTTGCAGTTCTACTTCCCCTTTCCCAATGCCCCCTGTGTCAGGTCTTCCTTTTTCAGAGTTCACCCATATTATTACTTCCGTATATAGGAATTCTCATCGGGTCCACTCCTCTTGCTCCCCAACTCCCACATATCTTTCTTTTTTTTTTCTCTCCAATCCCAGGTATGTACCCCAGTACTTTAGCCCTGTGTGGCCAGCGCCCCATGCGTAAGCGTCTTTCTGCCCCAGAGTTGCAGCTGGATCTGACCAAAGGGCCTGGAGTTAACGGAGCTTCTTCCACCCATTCTGCACCTTCTTCTCCTGGTGGCAGTTCTGACCTGGATGTCGACGAGCTGGAGACCCCTTCAGACTCGGAGCAGCTGGACAGCGGACATGAGTTTGAATGGGAAGGTGGGAAACAAACTGAGGATTGAGCTGGTAGAAGTAGAGGCCAGTGTTAAAAAAGCCCAGGATGGATTTAATGGGACTGAAATTAGAAGCAATAAGGTGAGGATGTAGAGACAAGGCTGGCAAAATCAGTTTCCTCAGAATGGAAAGGTCGAGCTTGTAGATCGATGTGAGAGTAGTCAGTAGGGTCCCTTGTTTATCGAGGAAAACTTGACTGAATGACCGTTAAATGCTATCACTGAGCTAGGACTGGGACTATAAAGATGAGTAAGATAGTCCTTCCCTTCGAGAGTTCTCTGTCTAGTAGGGAATAAACACATATACAAATAAGTGCAATTAAGGGTTATGATCTACATGTATATAGGATACAGTGCAGCCATGGAAAAGGAAATGGTCAGTTCTGCTTGAGGGGTGTCAGGAGTGGCTTCACAGAGGAGGTGGAGTATTGAAAGCTGATGTTTATCAGGTAGAAAGGGCATTCTAGGGCCAAGAAGCAACTCCAGTGAAGCATGGCATGTTGGGGAATTAAAAGTGTTAAACACAACTGTTCAGATGTGAAGAGTTGGAAGGTGAAGAGAGAATGACAGAAGATAATGCTGGGATAACTAAACAGGGTCAAATCATGGAGGCCCTTGCTACCATGCTCAGGAGTTTAGATTTTGCCTCATAGGCAATGGGAAGTGATTGAAATTTCCCATCAAAGGAGTAACATAATTCAGTTGGATGGCTCTGTAAAGACTGAAAACAACCTAAAGGCCCATCAGTAGAGTATTCATGCTATTGTGGTGTATCCATACAATGGAATACTATGCAACTCCTTTTTTTAATGAAGAAGAAGAAGCTCTTTCTCTTGTTATGGAAAGATCATGCAGAATGGTAGGTATGATATATTATCATTTGAGTAAAAAAAAAAAAAGTAGGGGAGAGAAGAAAGCTTGCTCTGTGGATTGGAGGAAACTAGAGGCAGGGAGACCAGTTAGAGGCTAGTACTAAGGCCAGGTGAGAAGCGCTGAGAATCCAAACCAGATCGGTAGTAGTGGAGAGGATGGTGAATACTGTGGAGGTAGATGAAAGAGGATCTGGGCTCCAGTTGGTTTCAGGGCTGACAAAGAGGAAAGAGTCTCAGATGACACACAGTTTTCTCTCAGGCAGCTGGATGGACAATGAGGTCATTCATCAAGATGGGAACTCTAGGAGAGAGGAGGAAGAATGATTTCTGTTTTGGACCTGGTGAATTGGAGATTCCAGAGGGACACGGAGTGGAGATGTCTACTCTAGGCATTTGGGGATGTAGGTCTGGAGTTAGGAGAGAAGTCTGGGATAGAGAGGCACATGTGGTAGTCATCACCTTACCGGTGATAACTGAAGACATAGATGAGCTTGCCCAGGGAAAAGCATGTAAAAAAAGAAACAGAAAATCCAGAAGAAAACTGATAGTGGCAGGGCCATAGGCTAGTGAAAAAGTGGGGATAACAAGACACAGGTGAGAGAACCCAGCAAGGTGTGGGGTTGATTGGACAAAGTAGGGCTAAAAAGTCAAGGGAAAAATGAGGACTGAGAGACTGGAGTAATAAACTCTAGGAGTTGGGTAAGATACAGGATACAGAAGGTAGGGATTCTGCCTTGTTGATCCTTCCATCCTTCCCTTTTAGATGAGCTGCCCAGGGCAGAGGGCCTGGGGGCCAGTGAGGCAGCTGAAAGCCTGGGTCGGGGTTGTGTGTGGGATGTGGCCGGAGAAGATGGTCATCACTGGAAGGTGTTCCGAACCGGACAGCGGGAGCAGCGAGTGGACATGACTGTCATCGAACCCTATAAGAAAGTCCTGTCTCATGGAGGTAATCGCTGGCATAAATGAAGGGGTAGAAACTGTGGCTTCTTGAATAAAATGCCTAAGCTAGAAACTCAGTTGAGTTCAAAATCCTTCCTGTAACTTCCAGAGACCGTGAGACCCTCCACCTCTACAAGTGTACTGTCTATCAATACATATCTGTTGACAGAATGAATTTTTCCCTTGCCCTCCCCAGGTTACCATGGTGATGGCCTTAATGCTGTCATCCTCTTTGCTTCCTGTTACCTGCCTAGAAGCAGCATCCCCAACTACACCTATGTCATGGAACACTTGTTTAGGTGAGGTGAAAGGCCTGAAGAGATACAGGGAGGACGTTAGGGAGAGACAAGCAAAAAAAGAACACTTTCCAAGACCAGCTGAGCTGATGATAGCGTTTACAATAATCGGTCCCTGTCACTCCTCACAACCCCAAACACACACCGCCCCTGACAATTTCATCCCATCCAGGTATATAGTGGGAACGCTGGAGGTGCTGGTAGCTGAAAACTATCTACTTGTTCACTTGAGTGGAGCTACAAGTCGGGCCCAGGTTCCACCTCTGAGCTGGATACGCCAGTGTTACCGTACCCTGGATCGACGGTGAGTTCCTAAGACAAGGGCCGCAGCTTGCGATCTTGTCTCTTTCTTTTCCAGTGTTCCCTCCTTTTTTCTTTTATCTAGTCTCTTTCTCTGTTTCTATGTCCCTCTATACCCTTTTCTAACCCTCTCCTGTCTTCTGTCCTCTCTCAGAGTCAGGAAAATCTGGTTTCAGATCTTGCCTTTACCACTAACTGTATGACTTTGGACAAGGCACTTAACTTTTCTGGTACATTTCCTTATCCATAAAATGGGACAGTTCTACTGTGTCCTGTAGGGTTGCTGTCTTAGTTATCTACTGCTTCTGTAACAGAAATACCACAAGTGGATGGCTTTTAACAAAGAGAAATGTATTCTCTCACAATCCAGTAGGCTACAAGTCCAAATTCAGAGTGTCAGCTCCAGGGGAAGGTCCTTGTTGTCAGTCTTCCCCTGGACGAGGAGCTTCTCCACGCAGGAACCTCAGGTCCGAAGGACGTGCTCTGCTCCCGGCACTGTTTTCTTGGTGGTATGAGGTCCTCATGTCTCTCTGCTCACTTCTCTCTTTTATATCTCAAAAGAGATTGGCTTAAGACACTATCTAATCTTGTAGATGTCATCAGTATAACTGTCACTAATGTATCTTATTACATCATAGTGATAGAGTTTACAACACATAGGGAAATCACATCAGATTACGAAGATGGTAGATAATCATACAATACTGGGAATCATGACCTAGCCAAGTTGACAGGTATTTTTAGGGGACACAATTCAATCCACGACAGGGTCGCTATGAGTCGGAATCCTCTCGACTGCACCGAACAACAAAACGGAAATGATGGTACTTTTGCCGCTGGGTATTTAAGAAAGTCAGGTGACTCTGTATAGCATCTTGCCTGCACAGAAAGTACTCTTCCTTTTCCCCCAGTCTTGCCGTTTCTTTCACTTTCCACAGCTCCATCATCATCTTTTCTCCTCTGCCTTCATCCCTGACCCGTATGTCTTTCTTCCCCCTGGCATTCCTTTTTATGTTTTCCCATCTTCCTTTTGCTCACTTTTCTTTCTACCTGCCCCTTTTTTCTCCTTACTGGCCTTCTTCCATCTGGAGTTTGTAAAGAGTCCTGATCATGGAGGAATGGGAAAGCATGCAAGTAAAAAAAAAAACAAAACGCACAAGAATGAGGGAGGAAATTATGTGAGGGAAGAGGAAGGAGGTAAACGGGGTACAGAAGACCAGGCTGAGAGATCCTGAGAGAAGAGTTTTTTAAGAATGACGAGCATGGAGGGCTAAACAAGATGGGTAGGGCTGAGACTGCTCCTAAAGGAAGGGGGATTAGACAAAGCTGCCGGAGAAATCTAGAAATAAGAGAAGTGAAGGAAGTTAAAGTACGGATGAGGGCTGCACCCATTCTTCAGGCAAGAGGGGAAGGAAGAAAAAGGGTAATTCATATTCCTCTTCAGGCTCCGGAAAAATCTGCGAGCCCTGGTGGTTGTCCATGCTACATGGTACGTGAAGGCATTTCTGGCACTGCTTCGGCCCTTCATCAGGTACGAGCTCTCGGGACAGGGACTCCCTTCCCCCTTTTTCCAAGTTAAACATCAACATGAAAATCTTGCCCTACCCACCGCACCCCACCGACCCTTTCTAGTCTTAACCACTCTACGTGCTACATTTCCCTTTGCAGGGGTCTCCAGGAGCCCTCTTCCCAGTACAGAACACACTTGATTGTCCTCTCTTTTCAGTTCCAAATTCACACGGAAGATCCGGTTTCTGGACAGCCTGGGGGAACTCGCTCAACTCATCTCCCTGGATCAGGTCCACATCCCCGAAGCTGTCAGACAGTGAGTCTGAAGGTTTGGGGTGGGATGTGTAAAGCCAGTCCCCACTTTCTTAAGGCCTTAGAGGAGATACAAAAGAACACGGCACACACCCAGAGGAGACATTACACACTACCGCGTCTCACAAGAACAAATTTAATAACCGTCCATGTAAATGCTGAGGCATCAAGGAGTAAAGGAATCATCCCAACACAGGAGTTAGAGGAGATTCTGGCCATTCCTGGAAGGGATATTTTGGCAGTGAGGGGAAGGTACATTTGGTGGAGGAGGGGTGTTGGGGAGCAGAATACCCTAAGTGATGACTCAAAGCATCCAGCCTTCTAGCTCTTCTAACTCACCAGCAAGTATGACCCTGGCCATCCTGCCCCTGTACCACTTCTCTGTCTCTCTCTGTCCTAGGCTGGACCGAGGTCTCCATGGCTCAGGAGGGACCTAGCACAGGACTGGAAAAAGGGCCTTAGAACCAAGCAAAAATCTTGATCTGCCCACCCCTGAAACATCTGAGCTGTTTTGTAAATTGTCTCAGCCTCAGCCTCAGCGCCACCACCGGATCTTCTCATCTTCATGAGATGTCATCCCTTCCATGACCCTGCCTACAACAGGGCTTTGAGGTCTGGAACCTCATCTCCTGGGTGACTGTCGTGTCAGCTCGGTGGAGTGTAGTGACAAACGCATTTTGGGAAAGTGTGGAGCTCTGGGTTTTGGTCCTGCTTTAGTTGTAGAAACTTGGGCCAGTAACTTCATCTCTCTGGGTCTTATTTTCTCCTGTAAATGAAGGCGCTGAGATCGTTTCCACCTTGCCAACTGTAGCAGTCGGTGAGGGGAGAGGTGGATGGTGAGGGGAGAGGGGGAGAGGTGGACGGGAAGAGCGGGGCTTAACCGACCACAGCCAGCCTGCCTGAGGCGGTGGCAGGAAGCAGCCCAATGGGGAGCCCTTCACAATGCTCCCTAAATCGTGAAGAACCGCTGTATGCCACGCTTTCCGACTTAGGCATGTCTGGCGCCTGGAGCCTGGGAAGGAGTGCTTTCAAACGTGTATTTTTGCCCTCTTTAGTAAATTCAAATGTGTAGCGTTTTAATAAACTGCGATGGGACATTGGAGTTGCGCGTCGAGGGAGTGAACGACTCTTTCCCCAAGCCCCTACACCACAGTCCGGCCCTGGCGCCCGGAGCCGGCTGCAGAGGTGCCCTCGGATCCCCAGTTCAGCCCGGGGTCCGCGGGGCGCCCGCGGGGAGGGGTGGGGGCGGGGCGGGGCGCGCGGCCGAGGCCCCCTCCCCCACCGCGGGCCTCAAACGCCCCAGTGGGTGGAGAGTGAAGGGAGGGCGGAGAGACGGGAGCCGGGCCTCCTCACTGGCCGCGCCCCGACCCCCAGCCGCCCAGCCCCATGGTCCCCGCCGCCGGCGCGCTGCTCTGGGCCCTGCTGCTGAGTCTGGGGTCCCCGGCGGCGGGGGCCCAGGGCCAGGCCCAGACTCCGTCGGGGCTGCAGCGGGTCAGCTTCCGCCTCGGGGGCCCGCTGACCCGCAGCTACCAGACCAGCAGCCGGAGCAGCGGAGCCTGGAAGACGAAGGTGACCCTGGAGGATGAGGACGACGCCGTGGCCACCGCCGACCGCCTGGCAGGCCCGGCGGCCTCCGAGCTCCTGGCCTCCTCGGTGGCCACGGGCATCAGCCACCCCCGCGGGTCCGGGGAGGAGGAGGGGGCTTTGGAGGAGGAGGTTGTCATTAACGCCAGGAGGAACGGCCCCCACCCCGAGACGCCGCCGCAGACGGCTCCCAGCACGCTCTTTCCTGCCAACACCCAGGAGCGGGAGGTGAGGCTGACGACAAGCCTGGTGCCCTCCACCGACAGGTCGGCCCCCGAGCCGCTGGGCTCCGAGGCCACCACCCTGAGCCAGTGGTCGACAGCCGGGGCCACCCCCAACCGCTGGCCGCCACCCTCTGCCACAGCCATGCCGCCGGCCGAGGACCTGCGGCTGGTGCTGATGCCCTGGGGTCCCTGGCATTGCCACTGCAAGTCGGGCACCATGAGCCGGTCCCGCTCGGGGAAGCTGCAGGGCCTGTCGGGGCGCCTTCGCGCCGGGGCGCTCAGCCAAATCCGCACGGAGCACCGGCCTTGCACCTACCAGCAGTGTCCCTGCAGGCGGGACCGGGAGGAGTGCCCGCTGGACAGAGAGCTCTGCGAGGACTGCGCCTCTCAGGCCAGCCCCAGCCGCATGCCCGTCAGCCGCACGTCCAGCCCCAGCCCCAGCCCCAGCCCCAGCCCCGCTCTTGCTTTTTGGAAACGAGTCAGGATTGGGCTGGAAGATATTTGGAACAGCCTCTCTTCAGTGTTCACGGAGATGCAGCCAGTAAGTGTTTGAGGATGGATCTCCAAAGTCCCGATGGACAAAACCCTGGTGCCAGCCGGTGTGCCTGCATGAATTTCTGACTTCTTTGGCGTGTCCACGCATTGTTGGCCATTAATTCCATCCTATTTCTGGAACAACTGCTGGCTGGCTGGTTGGTTATTAGACAACATGTATTATTGGTCATTAGATGATGATCGACCAAATAGTTGAGACTGTAGATATACAGAGACTTCTTTATGCACAGATAACTAATGAAGGGATTAAATATTAATCGATTAGCAGTTTTCAGCTGATTAATGCAGCTTGACAGTAAAAACAGCCAATATTTGGGGTCTTACTAGGTGCACTTCATCTGGATCAATCCTCACAACCAACCTGATGGGGTATTATTATCCCCACTTTACAGATGAAAATGGGGGTTCCAAGGGAGACATTTACAAAGCTAGTAAGTGGCAGAGCCACAAGTGGGATTCAGACCCAGGTGTGTTTGGCAACAAAGCCCATGCTTGTGACCACCACCCTCTGCCTCCCAAATAACTGTCCTTCTGGGATTCTTCCCCGCAACATAAGAATTCTCAAGGAAGGACAGTCCTCTACCAAGAGTTACTGAAGGTTCTGGTTGACCTGATCAAATACTCTCTGTTGATAGGGACACCAGGACCTTTGGGGAGGGGGAGAGCAATGAACTGTGGTATCCTTGGTCATTTTGCTGGTTTGTCTCTCTCCTTGTGTCCAAATAGGGGGAGCAGGGTTGAGGAAATGAGGGTATGTGGGAGAGGGGATGAAGCAAGAAAGGGAAAAGAATGTAGATGTGGTTGTAACTGCCCCTGTATTTTTCTTCCTTACTCAGACAGAGAGAAACCAGAGATAAAGACCACTTCATCCACAGGAAGAGGTGTCAGCACCTCAGCCCCTCCACCCCTTTCAATCCCAGCACCCACTGGATATTTTTAGTACAGAAAAACAAAACTGAAAAAAGCATTGTTTGGTCTTGTGTCTTTTTACAGAGGTATCTGAGGGAAGGGAGATCGTAAATCTCTTAAACCCCAAAACTGAACTGGGTGGCTAGCAACATCTGACTTGGTCCCCTACTCCCTTCCCTAGGATAAAGCAATGTTGGTCATTTCCCACATTTCCCAAGTTGTTCTAAGCAAGTACTTCTTTAAAGATTTGAAAAATTTCAGAGAAACACCAAGGAAAAAGAATAGGCAGAACAAGGAGTCAAGCCCTTCAAAGATAGTGGTCTTCTTGCCTTCACAATGCTTGACCCTCCTCGGGAAGGCAATGTGGGTGCAAAATTCCACTTCCGCCACTTTCGAGGAGTTACGCTTATCAGCCATATCGATTCTTTAACCCCACATACGTGTGTAGAGATCACTCTGCAACGCTTTTGCTTAAAATTTTTTTATTTGAAAAATGTTTTTAAAAGTCCAACAATTTTTAATATAAATTATGACTCTCAAACCCATTCCCATCACCCTAAAAACTGCTGACGTGATGGTAGCATACACATTAGAGAAGGTAGCTAAAGGCAAGAGAGCACCAAAGGCAAGACAAGACTGTGTCCAGAGAACAGGTATTGGAATGAGGCTGACGATGAAAATGGCCAGAGAATCCAGAAGGCCTCCGCCTTTCTACCCTGTCCCATTAACCCATCGGATCTAACGCAACTCTCAAGCTACTGAGCTACTTTCAGAGTGTCCAGCTTGACTGAAACTGAGAGCAAACTGGGAATGGATCTCTGTGACCAATTCTAGGCCCTGAAGAACTGCAGGAAATAACACAGTTAAAACCTCAGTCACTGTAGGTGGGGGCCAACTGGATAAATGATGGAATCAGCAAAGTGGATCCCAGTTCCCACATTCCTGACCCCACTACAAAACAGGACGCTTCCTATTACAGAGCTAATGAGAGACCCACCTTCTTGTCTCAGTACACAGGAGCTCATTTGTCTCGTTCTGCCTTCCTAATCACCCTGCAAGGAAGGAGCCAGAACAAAGAACACCTGAAAAACACTGAAAGCAGCAGCTGACAGACCCTTCTACATGGCTTTCCCACCTAAAGCAGACTCTTCAGCCAGGTGGGAAGTGGGACCTGGTCTTCAGACAAAACTCCCTGAGTCTTATCCGTGTCTGGTTCTAGAACTAGGGCACAGAAATAGAGCTTAAATTTGAGGGGGACAAGCTGGGGTGTCTATAGCACTATTGTTTTTTTCTTCCCCTCCCCCAATTCCCCCACACCCTGTTCGTGTCTCCACACTCCATGAGACATGAAGCCATGTAAGCACACACAACACACCGAATAAAAAATCATTTGGAGACACGTGCAGCCCTACTGGCCCTGCTTTAGAAGAGGTCCTAGCTCATCCGTGGCTCAGCCTTATGATGAATAAGGGGCTGGGAGTGGGGTGGGGGTGTGGAAATCACTTAAGAAAAAAATACCTCGACTCTAGAGCTGTGGTTCTCAACTGGGGGCAGTTTTTGCCCCCAGGGGACATTTGGAAATGTCTGGAGACATTTTTGGCTGTCACAGTGAGGGTGGGCCAGGGATGCTACCATGCACAGGACAGACGACAGCCCCCCACTAGAAATTATCCAGCCCAAAATGTCCAAAGTGCCTACACTGAGAAACGTGGCTCTAGAGCCTGTCCCTGCTCTCATGCCGTGAGGATCTTCAGACAGCTCAACTTACAGATGCTTGTTCTCACCACCCCTCCCATCCTCAGTGGCCAGGAAGTCCTCCCTGAGACAGAAGTCCTAGTTGGGCTGTATTCTGGGTTTCTCTCCAGACCCTTCCTCCCCTCACCTGGGCCAGCAGGGAGGTTGGCAAAGGGCTGGCCAGGTCCCCAGGACTTCAATGGGTGAAAGGAACATCATTAGGCTAAGACCCACCTCTTAACTCTCATTCAGTGGGAAACTAAGGCTCCTGACAGAGTTGGGGTTAAGGACAGAGGTAGTAGTAGCATGGGGCAATTCAGAAAATGCATCTTAAATTAATTTAATTTAAAAAATAGGAAAGTTGCTGGGGAGCTAGCTACAGAAATATAGGGTTAAAGGCCTAACGAGACAAAGACCCTGGTATTGGCAGAGAGATATTGAGGGGCTGTGAGCTTAAAGCCTGAAGTTGAAAGAAGAGTGGACTAAACAGCGATTACCCTCTCAGCCCCTGCCTGCTATCTGCTTCAGTTCATTCCAGGGGGGAAGAGGGGAAGCGCAGGGAGGTAGGGAGCTTCTCAGCAAAGCCGGCTTCAGCTTTGGTAGTCTCACCCACCTACTCCCATTTAAGGAGTTCCAGGTTATGAGTTTAACAGCTGGCACCCAGACGTCATTCAGGAGACCAGAACTGATCCCAGGTTCTCGAGAACTCCTATCTCAGATCTGAGGGTGTCCAGGCTTCAGCTGAGCTCCTCTGGCCAACCGGTAGTCACATGGTCAGTCCTGCTGCCTTGATCCCATCGCCAGGAGGGGCTACAGCCAGAGGGAGTTGAGGGAGTCCAGCCCCCAAGCCCTGAGGCACTGTTAGATAGGGAAAAGAGGGGCCCTGGGGTCACTGGTTCTAGGAGGGACCTGGAGGGGGCAGCATATCTTCTGGGCTGAGTGGGGGGCTTCAAGACGGCAGAACCTGGATAAAAAAGGGGAGGAAGATAAGGCTCAAAACTGAGGGCTGATGAAGAAGGTACTGCCTAGTGCAGACTCTTCTATTTGCACAACTCCCTCTCTCTGCCCTTCTGGACCCTACATTTTTCAATTCTCCATTCTAATTCTCTCTTCCTCTTCACTTCCCATTCTTGCACCAGAGGATCAGGGGCTGGAGGTGATGAGCGGGTTTCTCTAATCACTCACCATTTCTGTTGGAGCTACAAGCCCCGAGAATGGCTCCACGACCTGTCTCGGTTTCCCTTGGATCTCATTTGCTCCTGAACCGCACCTGTCTGTGAAGAAGCACGTGTGAGACGTTACACCCCACATCCCACAGGAAGAGGTCGCCCCGTGCCCTCCAGGAAAGGGGCTGACCCAACCTCCTTTACAACAAAATCAGTCTGAAAAGATTAAAACCAACCACCATCACTCCCAGGGAAGTCTCAATGCCTCCCTTCACACACTGGCCCTTATGAGGATGACGTAAAACGGGTCTTCTATTATTAAGATCTCCTACAAAAGACTCTTGCGTATTTATCCGAGCTTCATAAATGGTGAAAAGATTCCTTCTTCACTCCCTGATTTCCCTTATTTTGAAAGCAGAAATGCATCTTGGACATTATTTAGGACAGAGATGCTCAGCCTTTTTCCTGCCCCGACATTTCCAATCATAGTATGACTTACTGTCGCACCGAGACAGGACTTAACGGGGAGATGGGAGCATTGTGGCTTTTGGGGAAAGTCCTCCAACACACCAATGAAGAATAATATGCTAATTGTAAAGATGAAGTAACCCAGGCCCAGAGACTTGAAGTGCTAGGCCTGAAGTTACTCAGATGGTAACCGGGACTAGAAAAGTTACTCAGATGGTAACCGGGACTAGAATCCCACATTCTTGCTTCCCCATCAAGTATTTTTTTCTGTCCCCTGCTTGACCTTTCAAATAGAGGAACAGTCTATAGACCACGCCTCCACATCAACCTCTCTGGTTCCCTTATTACCATGGCAAGTCCATCTCCGGCCCCCATCTCTCCAGACCCAATATGAGTCAGATGGACGAAATTCATTGGTTCCCCAATCATGGTCCGGTCAATCCGTCTCCTCTTCTTCTTCTGTTTGAAGAAAATAGGGGAGTCATGTCTGAAATCCCCTCCTCCAGTCACAATGGAGGAAGGGAAAAGAGTCTTGAAAACCACCTGGGGAGGTGCTAAGGGTTTGGTGGTAGAAGGGAACATGGCGTGATAATAGAGAAATCATGAGCGTGGAAAAGGCAAAGCTAGAACATAAACACAAGGACGACACAGACTAGCAGTGGCCTGCAGAGTGAACACTGCACAAAGAAGGGACAAGTCAAAGTCACCTCTGGCTGATGGGAAACAATGGGGAAAACCGACAGGCAATAATCTCCACCTACAAACCTGCCCAACTCAGAATAGATGGGAACAGGAGGTGACAGCTGCAACTATTCACTTTCCATCACCTAGTTCCCTTTAATCCCGGTACACACCTGCCTGGCCATAGCAACCATCCCGGCAGAGAAGGAAGACAGGAGTGTGCTTTTTAGACGGCAGATCCTACATGGCGTGTCTACTTCACAGTATACGGTAACTGACTTCTGTGGTGTGGGGGTGGGGAGACTCACCGGCTGGGGTTTCTCCACCACACAGCAGCCCAGTTTGTGCCAAAATTCACTCATGTTCCCTGATGGTTCCAGTTTCACTCCTCTGCCTGAGGCCCCAGAGGGCTCTTGCTCTGGTGTCCTGGCTGCCCACTCCTCACTCCTCCCAGATGTGACAATACCCTGGGTTCACTCAGCTGGATGGGTTTAGAAAAAGCAGAGTCCTTGGAGCCCTTAGCTGATCAGTGAAAGTTGACGTCTCAGACCCTGACAGACTACCGGGGCCAGGCGGCAGGGTGGAGCAGTCAGGCACAAGGTTGTCCTCCTCAGACTTGGAACCCTGGATTAGCAAAAAAAAACAAAGGGAGAAGAAAGCTTAATGAGAGATCTCTCCCATCCTTGAGAAACCTCCTGATGAACCCACTTCTTCCCAACTCTCCCTTGGAGGCTCTAGTCCTGTACCCCAGCACTAATCTTCTCCAAACAGAAGGATCTCACAGTTTGACTCTCAGAGAAGGGAACAGAACCAGGAGGTCAAGGGTTAAGGAGTGTGGCTGGTGGTACCTAGGGAGAGAAAAGGGGAGAGAAAGGGGGCGAGAAGCACTGAGGGTGAGAGGATGGGAAGGGGACCAAAGGATAGTGGCAGAAATGAACCAAGCTCCCTTCTCTCTTGGTTTAGGGTAAGGGGAGGGGCATTTAAGTGACTGAAGAGGAAATGGTGGTTTTTCATTTTCACAAACAAAGCCTCCACCCTGCCCCTTCCTTTTACCTTGTCTTGCCCTGAACACCTAGATTTTCTCTAAGAACAAAAAAGGCCTTGACCACCTATGTCCTAGGAGACTAACTGTAGCAGGTCGGACCGCAAGACTTTCTACAGAGAGGAATTTCTTCTTTCAGTTCACTGCCGTTGTTCCTCCTCATTCCCCTCTACTGAGATTCAACCCCTCCCAGAAACCAGTTAGCAGTTCCTTTATTACTTGACCGTGAGATCCTTGGCAAAGGCTGTGTATACACGGTTTGTCTGTGTATCACTGTTCTCCTGAATGAACATCTCTGTTTGCACATATGTGGCACGGCCATGTCTCCGTGTGTGTCTTACGCAGATCATCTGGGTATAGGCTGTAGGTATATGTGCCAGGTATCCCTCTATCCCATGAAGAAATCTATTTCCAGTCTCCCCACCCTCTTCACAAGTCCTATCATGTCCTGCTCTGCTCTGCCTCATAGTCGATAGGGCCGGGCCTCCCTCCCTTCTCCCCTCATGCGGTGACCTGTTCTCTCCTCCCTCTTCAGCACTTCCACTCCCAAGCTTCATCAGCCAACCAGACACAAGGAACTTCCCAACAGCACTAGCGTCCAAGAAAGAAGTTCCTCCCCTTCTCACTACTGCCAGCTCTCTGGGTTTCCTCTATATTCACTGCACTTTCCCAGTACACGCAACCTCAAAGATTCCAAACAGGGTGGTTTCATGAATACTACACTATTAGCACAAACAGGAATCTCCCTTTCTGATGTTCTGGCACTCTCAACTGATCTAAGAACTGAGGGATGTTTTCACAGCCTTGAGATGAAATCACATAAATACTGAGGCACAACTTCTAAGGGAAGGAAGGACCTAGGAGTCTAGGCTTTCCCTTACTTTCTACTATTGAAAGGGAGGAGCAACCTGACTAGGCAGAAGTCAGAATACAGCTGTCCAGAGAGGGGAGCTGTGGTCAGTGGGGGAAGTTAGTCAGTCAGTCAGTCACAGGGTTTGTCATGATGGTGGTGGTGGCGGGTGGCAAGGGTTGGGGCGAGAGCAATGGAGAAAACAATGAAGAATCAGAGGAAACCCCCCCCACTCCCAGACAGGCTATACTGAGACTGGACTCTCCCCCAACATCCCCCCCCCCCCGCCCCCCGCTCAAAGCTGAGTGGACAGAGGTGGATGGTGCTGGGAGGGGAGAAGAGAGAAAAGGGGGAGGAGAAGGAGAGACGGGGAAAGGGGCAGTGGAGGAAACAAGGATGTTTCTGTTCCTTTTCCAGGGATCTGGCCAGAGCTGGATGGAGGGCAAGTGTGTGAGTGGGACTTGGCATGAAATGACCTATGATGATGAGACATGATCAGGAAATTCCATTCCCCAGGACATTAGGGTCTCTGAAACTTGGGGGTGGGGTAGGAGAACACAAGGCGGGGTAAATGTGGGAGGTGAGGAGTGGGACAGAAGGCAAACATGGCCAGAAATGGAAGTAAGAGCTACTGGCTGCCACTCTCCTTTAAAGCAGCCAGAGAAGGGTGGGTTGAGGAAAAAAAAGTGTGAGCTGGTGAACACTGGAGGAAGAAGCACTCAAAGCCATTGCCCACTATTTCAACCGCACATTCAAAGCGGGGGGGCTGAGAAAACAACAGGAGGGATCAGGATAAGACCACAGAAGGCCCCATCCTGACAGCCAAGTAGTGCTGAGAACTCGGCTTCTCTGAGTCCCAAATCGGAAGAGTGAAATATAGCGCTGGGAAATACACCCCACCACCAAGGTCACACTAGGACTTGAAAGGACTCAGACACTGGCTCCCAGCCCAAGACAAAGTCTTTCTTCCTTCTGCGTGAGAAAATGAAAACGAGGTAGCCAGGCTTTCTTCTGGAAAATCCAGGCATCCAAGGTGACCCTGAGCCCCAAGCCTCAAAGGTGCTGAGGAGGCGAGAAGAAGAAGGGATGTGAGGAGGGTTCCAGGAAGGCGGGATGTACACACGTAGTTCCCCGGTCCGGTTCTAGCCCCAAACCGGTTTTCCCGGTCCCGCTGCCTCCCGCCCCAAGGCCTCCAACCCGCTGCCTGACGAGCCTTCACAAGCAGCAGCTGGAGGGAAAGGGAAAACGGGAGAGAGAGAATGGAGAAACGGAGGGGGCAATCCTGGCTGTAAGCCCGGGGCTGCAGGCGGTC